GTATCTATCACACCGTCAACGCTTTTTGATGGCTTGGGGCAGTGCCTTTCATGCCAAGACGCTGCCGAGACCGCGGCTGAGATCCCGATAGGGTGTTTGTTGACAGGTCACTACTGTCGTGAGAGGTCACAAGTTTCGGTCGGTCGAAAGGTCGAGAGGTCACTGGACTTGCTGCAGTCAATTGTGTGCGACCTGGCACTCACATGATGGGTTTGGTTTATTTTGGGGATTTCATTTTCCTTTCCCCCTGTGCTATTATTGTTTTTGTTTGCGTTTCCGTTTTCGGTGCGTATGTTTGTCTGGCTTTGCATCTCCTTACTATCATATCATACCATCACAGGGCTTACAGGATTTCTAGGTAGCGCAGGTGTTGGGCTGGGTTGTGTCTCTGGCATGTTGTATAATTGGATTGGATATATCGCGCGGTTTTCGTTTCTTCTTTGCTTGGCCTATCAACATCATCACGGTTTGTTTTGTTGCTTTCTGCTTTTGCAACACTTTTGGGGGATAAAAGGATGAAAAGCTTTTCTCGCTATGTTCTGTTATGGACATTTGAACCGGACGATACATGGTTTCTGGACATCTGTGGACGAATGAATACCCTACTCTTCTTATTGTACTGTTTTTGTAATCCACGCTTACAGCTTATATTGATCTCGTTTCAGATCCGGATCTCCTTGATGGTCGCATGGGGTGACTGCATATGTGAACCATACTTCAGTTGATGTTGCCTGTCTTGAAGTTGTGATATTTATCTGTGCGATGCCTTGCGTTGGCTGTTCAGACCTCCTGATATCTTTCATCATTTGCTCCAAAGACCTTTGGTGACTTTCTAATAGATACTTGAGAGGCATACTGACTTCATTATCACCTGGGGATGATGCCGCAGTTATGTGGTCGACATCTATCATCCGGATCATTTGTTTTTGTGCTATCCGGCACACAGTCAGCATCAACAGCATCATCATATACCTTGGCCTCCTCGCCAGTCCATGGAGCCGTAGACGACACTAGCAGCTCACAGCAGCTGGTGAATACCAGCACTTCGACATCCAATTCCCAAAATGAGGCTATCACTAACGACATAACTCTTTCCACCTCTAACTCCTTTCTCTTCTTACCACGTCACCATCGACGGGATATAACCAATACGCGATAGTAACAGATGAAGTTTGAACGTACTTTGTAAATGGGAGTTCCATATTGTCGCGCTTTGAAACATGTACTTATACCCATAGCCAATAAGCTCCTTGGATATTCACTCAGCGTCCATATATCCTTCTCAAGCCATTCCCTTCCCATGTTATGTCAATGTTGAGAAGACCGGATGTAATTCTTGGTTCTGCAGGTTTGCGTCCTTCGTTATATTATTATATACTTGCGTTGTTATGGTGTTTGTGGCAAAGAGAGCCGTCCAACATTGATACCACTACGCTATAGTCTCAGCCATACATGGTATAGACTGCTGATCTCTTCAAAGAAGTGACGGAACTCTCTATGTCTATCATACTAACTCTTTGTCCTGCGTCTCAAAACACCATCCCAAGATAGCCGCCCAGCACGCGTTGCTCTAAACTAGCTATCGATCCCGCCTTCTCATTACTCGAGCCAGCTAGTCTGATTTCTTCTAACCTTTCGTCTGATGTATTTTTCGGTTAGTCACACGTCAAGGTTTGAGTGAATGGACCCTCATTTCCTGGAACCTTGTTGCTGCCTGCTGCGAGGACTTCACCCTCTTGGTCCTCTCCCCTCCGCGTTTCGATTTTTTTCTACAATCATAACTTGACCTGTGCAGCTTGGGGGGTTCTCTACACGTCTGGGTATCATACTTATCTGACAGATACTTGGCCAGTACAGTCAGTGAATTTTGCACAAACGGCGCTGGCCACGAAAACGAAGTCCAGAAGTTGACCCGCTCCTGCCAGAGTGATCACCCCCACCCTCCAAACTCTCCTTCTACCACGAACAACCTCCTCCACAACCCACTGTGCAAGAACAGCCTTACACACTCATTTCTCTTTTCTGATTATTCGTTATTCGCACCTTCTTCCTCCAGCTCCAGCAAATCTTCAAGCAACAGCAACCATGGCGGAAATGGTCGATCCCAATGCCCCGCCCCCGGCCAGGGACGGCTACGACTCCGATGGCGATTACGACATGGGCTACGATGACGGGGATTTTGACGCATGGTTGCAAGCCGAAGGCTTTAAGGGTGCCAGCAATCAATCACCCAGTCCTGGCAACCATATCCAGCAATGCGCGAACCTGGCGCGTCAGATATTGTCCAGATCGCCGCCGCCGGCCGAGCCTGTGCCGCATACACCATACGAGTCCGCAGTCGACATGGAGGAGGCACCGCCGCCATCAGCACCCATGTACAAACCAGGAGTACCGCCCATCCCTCCTCGGCCGTCCCCCACCTTTCGACTTCCACCAATCGACACCATTTACGACGGTCTGCTAGCACCGAGCTCTCCTCCCCGGGAGCAGGCTAATTCACCAGCGCAAGGCCCGCCACCCCGGCCGATTGCACCTCCCGTTCCGCATCACGAAGACGATGTACTCGAGGTGATCGACCCCAACGGCAACATTATTGTCGGGTCCGGTGGCCCACAACGTCAGAGATTCCTCGCCAGTACTGCCGCCATCCTTCGCTCCTCCCCAGTTCTCGCCGCCATTATCATGCCCGAGAGGCACAGCCAGGTCAATCAACAGCCCCCACCGCCCCCGACACCAAGTCCTCTGCGCTCACCTGCCGCCTTCCTAATATCGCCCGAGGAGGATAGGTCCTCCCTTCCGACTCTCTTTATCCCAGACGTAGAGGACAGAGTGTGCAAAACGTTCCTGCTCGTCATTCACGGGTTCCTCAATAGGGTTGAGAAGAGCTTCAAGAGTGTCCAGCTTTTCTATGACCTCTTGATGTTTACCCATCGCTATGGAATGACATTGAGCCTCCAATCGGTTGCGGTTCCCTGGCTCAAGAGAATCTATCACGAAAACCCCCTTCGCCATGACGAGGTGGCAAAGCAGCTTTGGATAGTCTACGAGTTGGGTCACCTCAAGATGATAAGGCATACGATTCGCTGTATGGTCAAGACAGCAAGGATCAATAAAGATGGTGAGCTTCTGGGATACGGAGCCCAGGAAGGGAAGGATGAGTACACGCAGTGGGCTCCGTTGGTGCATTTGGGTTTGCTTAGTATGTTTACCCCCTTCCTGATTGCTGGTTATTTTTCCAAACATGTTTTAACGATGCACGGCAACGACACCTTGATGGTGATATTGGTTTATTCATATAGCATCATCCAAGCTAACAAGAACATTGCACATAGGGGACATTACAATCTGCCGACAGCGCGTCATAAACCGGCTCCTCTTCGAAGTCGAGCAAGTGATCGAGCGTCTCACATCCTCCCCTCCAGTCCTCCCTCCACGCGACCCTGGTGACGATGACGAAGTCCAGAACTATAGAGCTAAAAGTCACGATCCTAGAAATCCCAGACAGCCTATCGAGATCCCGCCAGACGACACCCCTCGACAGTTATGTGTCTCCCGCAGACCTCCAGGGAGAGTCACCCACGCGGTAAATTGCGACGCCAGTATGCTCGGAGCTCTACAACGTGTACTGCGCCAGGAGGGATGGGCTACGATGGACTTGACTTGCAGTCCGAGTCATCTATACAGGCGGATCAAGAAGATTGGGAAGACGGCAACCGAACAGGTGGTTATTACGCATACCCTTAAGGGACATAGGGCGTGCGATCCGTTTGGGGATGATAAGTGGATTAGGCTGGATGAACTGATCATGGGGGAGGTGAAGATGATTCCGTTTGACGTTGAGGAGCTCAAGAAGCGGGGAGGAATGATGGGGTTTTCGATTCAAGATTGGAAGTGAGCTTAGGTCTTTGAAGGAAAGGGAGCATGGTGGCATAATGAGAATCTGCTGTAAGTGGTCGTAGATACTGACCCAAGCTTTGGCATTATATTTGGGGACACCACATGACTGGACATCACAGGTTCTGTTAGTTATTAGTTGGAATGATGCGTTCGATTGGGGGGAATTGGGGTGGTATGGAAACGGAGCGTTTTCTCGAATATGGACAACTGGACATCGGATTAGTTATCATGATTCCCATGTTCACCGTCATGGATCTCAGGCATATGAGAAAGTTGGGAAGTTACTTGGGGGTGAGAGTCCTCATTGCCATCGCAAGGAATATAGTTTTCGTTGATTACTCAACATTGTCACTTGAGAATGACACTCCACGGATCGCCCGAATGTGGGGGGAATTGTTTAGTAAACACCTGAGGGATTCTCTTCCAAATTTCCTGCAATGCAGATTGAAACCAATGTGAAGTTAACGTTGAAACCGATGAGTGATGGACGAGTGTCAACAATGAGTCCAGCGGTTGTTGTTCGCCTTTGTGGAATAACTCCCTTGAGGCTGGTCCGCTCGGTTCGCATTTGGGGGACGTCACTCGAATCCGAGCAAACAGCAATGAGAATTGGACCATTGGACAATTCGGACAGTGAGATGTGAGAGCGAAGAGTCGGAAACGAAGCTCTGTACCAAAAGTATATATGTATCGCTGTACAATCAATGTAGATAGGCGGATTTGTTGAGATCTGGGCGCGCCCTTTGGTCGACGTTGGGGTCCACTAAGTAAGCATCGTACCGTGGTACCTTCCCCGCTCCCTGTCAGCGTGGGGCATCACTGTACTATGTACTTCGGCTGCAACCTGCGTGAATATCCGAAATCCTCAGCGTCACTTTTATGTTTCATGAGCGAAGGTGTCGGCTTTTACGTTCCAACCAACTTTGACAATGGCCAATACTTTTTATACACACCAACTCTTGGAAGTTTGTCAGCTCGGGATGCGCCCTATTATTTTTTGTAGCAAGCGGGTGACAGGGGAGTTTTCAAGCAGGACACGTCTATCTACGCGATATGATTGGCTGAAATCGCCCGGTTTCAAGATGAGAAGGAGTTGACAGAAGGAACGGAATCGAACACCCGCACTTCCATACTCTGGCTTAAAACCGCCAGAATCGCCCAGAGGCTCCCTTCCCAAAAGGTACCTTACTATAATCGGTGAAGTTACCCCTACAGGGCATTTTGTAAATAGTGATTTGTAATCTCTGTGTAACACCCGATCGACCTATGGAACTGTGGGCTCGGCTGTGTGAATACCAAGTGGATTGTATGGTAGACCCGCTCCTCGGCTTAGTTCCCGAATGATATAAATACAAGCAGCGACCCCAACATCAAAGTCTCACTTCCGTCTCATCATCTCCAAGCAAAGTCAAACACATCTGAAAAGCAGCTCCAAACTCAATTCACCATGGCCAACCAAGACCAACAAATCACCTTCTTCGACATCCCCAGCAAGGATGGCCGCACATGGACTCTCAACCCTTGGAAGAGTAAGAAAGCAGAACACCGACCCATCCATCCATCCCTCACCACTTCCCCTCCCCATTTTCTCTCCTAAACAGCTCACTAACAAACCTTTCCTCCTACACCAGCCCGCTTCGCCCTCAACTACAAGTCCCTCCCCTACCACACCCAATGGCTCGAATACCCCGACATCCGCCCCACTCTCTCCCCGCACCTCCCGCCCGCCGCCCCCGAGCCCTCCACGAGCTCCTACACCATCCCCGCCATCCGCTTCCCCGACGGCACCTACATGATGGACTCCAAGACGATCGCCGTGGCGCTCGAGGAGCGCTACCCGGCTCCGCAGTACCCTTCTCTGCACCTGGACACCCCCGCCCTCGCCAAGCTCGAGTCCCTCATGCCCGGCATGATGGGCAAACTGGTTGGTGTCTTTGTGCCTGGCGCCGTCAAGAACATTTTGGGTCCCAAGAGCCAGCCGTACTTTATCAGCACGCGGGAGGCGGCGTTTGGGATGTCGATTGATGAGCTGCAGAAGACGCAGGGCGGGGTCCAAGCTTATGAGAAGATCCGGGAGGAGTTGCAGGAGGCTACGGCTTTGTTGAAGCAGAATACTGCGGGACCGTTCTTCGAGGGAGACAAGGTGTCGTATGCGGATTTTGTGTGGGCCGGGTTCTTGCTGTTCATGAAGTACGCGGACGCGGAAGGGTTCGATAAGTTGTTGGAGGCCACGGGGGATAAGGAGGCGAATGAGAGGTTGTTGGAGGGCGTGAAGCCTTGGGCGAGGGATGATATCTGATTGTGATGTGATGTGGTGAGAAAGAAGCTTGGAGTAATAGATACTATTCTTCCAATGGGTAACACAACAAGGTTACAACTTTGGAATAGTGATATGATTGATTTATCGCGACGAAGCTCCTAATCCCGGCGCCTATGGAAGCTAAGCATTCCCCAAAGGGTCTCTTTAGCAGGCATTAATTTTACTCGGCCACTTGTTGTCCGTTATGGATATATACGGCTTACGGTGCAGGGCTTTAAAGGTGACTGTTCGTTTTATAGAGGGATGTGACACTTTTTATTCATGCCGTCAATAAGCTTCTCGATCATCAGTACACATGACGGTTGGTAGGAGACCTGAACTGGCCATCAGTGCGTCAACCCGAGTTAAACATGACTAATTGTAGCTTCTAGAGAGGCATACACATCACAGAACACGGGAGAGCATACATGAAACCAAGACAATTGAGGTTGAACTTTTTGATTATTCTATTTCATTACTTCATCCATTCGTCACAAAGCCAGCCCTTTACCTGTCACGGCCGTAGGTGGCAGGAGGCGTGGGCTTGTTGTCAAGAACAGACTCAATCTCCTCCATGATTTCAGGGGTGAGCTTGTCGATAAGGGGCAGAGCCTTGAGGTTGTCCTCAATCTGCTCAACCTTGGTAGCGCCGAGAATGACAGTGCTGACGTTGGGGTTCTTGGCAGCCCAGGCAAGGGCAAGGTGAGTGACGGTGGCACCGAGGCGCTCGGCGATCTTGGTCAACTTGCGGACCTTCTCAATCTTGGCCTGACCCTCCTCAGACTGCAGGCTCTTGATGGTGTTCTCGAAGAAGGCCTTGTTGGTGGCAAAGCGGGAGTCCTCGGGAATGCCGTCGTTGTACTTGCCGGTGAGCAAGCCGCTGGCGAGAGGAGACCAGATGGTGGTGCCGTAGCCGTGCTCCTTGAAGAGGGGAGCGTACTCGTTCTCAAAGCGCTCGCGGTGGAAGGCGTTGTACTGGGGCTGCTCGACGACGGGGGCGATCAGGTTGTGCTTGTCGGCGAGGTGGATGGCCTCCTTGATCTGGACGGCGCTCCACTCAGAGGTACCCCAGTAGTAGGCGAGGTTGAGGTTGCGGATGACCTGGGTGAAGGCCTCGACGATCTCCAGCATGGGGGTGGCAGCGTCGGGACGGTGGGCGAAGACGACATCGACGTAAGGGGTCTGGAGACGGTTGACCGAGGCCTTGAGACCCTCAACGATGTGCTTGCGGCTGAGACCGCGAGTGTTGGGCTCCTTGCGACCGGTGCCAAAGAAGACCTTGGTGGTCAAGACGTACTCGTCACGGGTCCAGCCGAGCTCCTTGAGTGCCTGACCCATTTCGACCTCGGAAGCTCCGTTCGCATATACCTCAGCGGTGTCAAAGGTTTGCTGTTAAAGACGCGGTTAGTTTGGTGTCTTTGGTGGTGAGCTGGACGGACGTTGGATCAAGACGTACAATACCATGGTTCCAGGCAGTCTGGAGGCACTTCTTGACGATCTCGCCCTTCTGGGTACCACCGTAGGTGAGCCAGCCACCGAGGGAGAAGATGGAAACCTGGAGACCGGTGTTGCCCAGGTAGCGGAACTTCATGTCCTTGGGCTCATAGGCCGTGGGAACGACGGGAGAATCGGAAGCCATTGTGTTTGTTTGTCTGGATGGAGTTGTGGAATAGAGACGAGATGGACAGGAAGAGAGCGGGACGAAGCTGGCTTTTAAACGGACCACGGGCAGGAGAGACCTGGAGAAGAATGGGATGAGGAGGGGCCTGGGCGACATTTCAGTTCAAACCCAAATATTTAGTGGAGATAAAGGACGGAGTTATCGCTAATCCCCGCTCAACAACCGGAGCTCGCGTCCTTTTCTAGTGTAGGCGGCAACCCACCATTCCGTCCATGGTGATGGTCAGTATCGACCCGGTGGAGCTGGAAGGTCGCAACAGCGATTGCGATGGTGACGACATGCATTTGTCAACCTCCCGTCTCCTCGATCAGTTCCCCTTGTACACCCCCTAAAAGGCGTTGTTGGCCGGAAGTAACTGGCACCGCCATGATTATCAGGATACGATACGATACTCATATTTGGTTGCCGGTCTGCCGCGGTGAAAATCAGACACCTTGACGGCCAATGGCTGCGGGGAGCGGGGTAGCTGGAGGTCAAATTGCTCGATGACGCCGGCGGGGTAATCAGGCTAGTCAGGACGCCGAATGCGACCGTCTCGGGCGGTCACCAAATTGTTTTAGTAAGCAGCTCCATGACGCAAGAAATTGCTGTGGAAACCCACGTTTTTGGGAGCCGTGGAGAGCCGCGAGCACTTCTTCAACCGGTTCCGTTCCTAACAAGATTGTATGATTGAGACCTTTGGCCGCGTTCTTGGCGGGTGATCAGGGGCCAACTGCCATGGGTCTCATCAATCTTCAGTTGTCAGGGACGAGCTTGGTCCGCCTAAAAAGATTGAGGTGACCCAAGTGCTCTGGTATGTACCCAGAGAGCCATGTGAATTGTCATGAATATGATGTCCACTGACCCAAGGAGTCGGGTCTCGTTCCTGTACCCAATATGGATGTATCGATGTCCAGAGGCGACCATTTGCTCTCAAAAGAACTGTATGTACACTATGTATGTAAGTGACGGGATGGGGTTGGAATGGCCGTCTCCGGCAGCACTTCATGGGGCTCCCGCTTCCCCGGAACGATGCCAAGCTTGGGGTTCTGGTCTGGCCTCCGGAGATAGGTGCTCGGCCCCACAGACATTCCGGGGACCGGGACCCACGGACCCCGTTGCAGATGGTGTACATAGTAGCGGGATGACTTCCCGTCGACTTCCAGACATTACTACCAGTTGATCCAATGATTCTTTCATCACGGTTTTGAGGCCTTGTTGCATCAAAATTGAAGGGCCGAGTTAGATGGCGTGGATCGCTTAAGGAAAGTTAAGTGCCTCGACCAGACGCCGATTTTCATAAAACCTTGGCTCATCTGGGCGCCAGGATGAGTACACTACAAGTACAAGGTCCACCGCAAACCGGACCCTGAAAACGAGAATGAAGTTGAAGAACCCGAGCGCCTAGCTGCCATGGAGACCTCTTTGGCTCTACGAGCTAATGTATACATAGGGCTCAATCACGCGGCAGAGCGACGATCCGGCCAGCTTGCCGATTCGCACATCTGGGACCTGGTTCTCCGTGCGCAAGGCAGAAAGTGTTCCTAGGTATCCCCGTTATGGGAAATACTTTCCATCACATTTCCGTCGATAACTCCGAGCGCTCAATCCCTACAGGGGTTCATGGATGTTCTAGTCAAACTGTCCCCCTCGGCCTGTTGCCTACGTACCTGCCTGCCAGGCCTGCGCTCATCAACACCAAACCTTTCATCCCATCTCGAACATCCCATCCCGTCCAGCCGTCTGCCCGCACCTCGCTACCAACTAGGTACCCCTTCCCATACCAGGCACCTAATGGCTCTATAATTGCTCTCTTTGGTACCTGTAATCACCAACAACCGCTTTGGCCGAATGGCGCAATGGTCTACCGTCCTAACACCTCAAACCCCCAAAACATTCCTGTCCGGTTGGGAAACGATGATGTACATTCAAGTAACCGATAGCGTGTTCCACATCGTAAGCCCCGTCCACAATCAAGGATCTGCAGGTGTGAGCAGCAACAGAAGAAGGTAATCAAAAGTGCAAAACCCCCTAAAAAAAAAATTAAAAAAATGGTTAGGGTGTTTCGATGGTTAACCGGTGTGCGCTGATCGGCTGAGCGGTTGTTGGTATCTTTTTTTTTTGTATCTTTTTGTATCTTTTTGTACCTTTGTCGGACGGTGATGATAGAGGAGGGTTGTGTCTCGCGAGGCTGTGTGTTCGACTACTTGTCCTCCCGCACTCTTTTTTTTACCCCTTTTTCTCAAGTTCTCAACGACTGCCCAAGGCCCTAACCGTCTCCTCTGTCTTTCTTCACACTCTCCCGCCCCTTCCCTCCCTCCTCAGCTTCTCATCACTAATCCACTGCGGAGAATCAACCACTAGATCTGACAGCCATGCATTCTCCCCCTCTTTCAAGTCCTCCTGCTTCACGTCCGTGATCCGCCCACGGTAGACCACGCCATATTCTTCACACAAAGCCCTCACCACCCCATCCACCGTCTCCTCCCGTTCCTCTAGAAGAGATGTTGAACACCTCCCCTTCCACCATGTCTACTACCACCACCGCCCCCTCCCTTTACTTCTTGTTGCAAAAGAATACACTCCGCCAAAAGCGACATACCCCTCCCCTCCCGCACATTGCTCGCCATCCGCACTGCATGATTGGAAATCGGACTTTGAAAGTTGATCAGGCTGGTTTCTAGGATTTTCACTTGGGTCTCCAAGTTGCTAATCAAAATGCTGCATGCTGCTTTTGGATGAGATACTATAGAGAACGGTGTTGTGGGAAGAAATAAATGATATTTCCCGTAGTAGGCATAGCATTTGAGCTCTCTTCTCCGGTCGATCGGTCGAGTTACAAGCGCTTGCTCATTACGGGTAATATACACGGTGAAACAATAGCATGCGTCAGGTGGTAACGGTAGAAATATTCATTATCATTAACTATCATGGGCATGTTTGCTAGCTAGCTAGCTAGCTAGGAAGCGAAGACACAAAAGTTCGAAATGGTCGCTTGAAGGTAAACAACAGAAAAACGGGACATAGCAACTTACCAGTGTTTTAGTTCTTACCCCAGGCTGTGTTACATCTGAACCTAGAACATCGTGAGCAGCTTTCAACGCAAGGAACGACGGGATACTTAGCGGAGAGGGTTTGTATCCGACCGCAAGCCAGATGGGAACGGTCGGATGCGATTCATCACTACTCAACGTTAGTCGTTTACTCATGCGAACATAACACTAAATCAAGGGGCATGAAAAAAAAAACTACTAGCGCCGGCCACCAAGGACCGACGCCACGCTTGTACTGAAATAAAAGGGATTTACCATGGAAAAAAACGAAGAGCAGATATGTACAGTCACGGGACATATGTACAGGGGTATCGGTAGTAGGCCCATCCACCATGCCCTCAGGCTCCAAAACGCCAAAACTCCCTGCCATGTGCTAACTATCAATTCTCTTCCGTCCCCTGAGCGTCGTCCTATCAGATGACGGTTTGTGGACGCGACTAGAGCTACTTGTTTGTGTCTTCCTTCCCTGACTCCTTCCTCTTTGCAAAGGGTTCAACATCCTCTGCTTAAGCCTATTCATGTATCCTGTTTCCTTCCAACGGCGAGCTGCGTCGTCCACCACCTGGGTACGGTGAGTCGGCAGCTCTGGCTTCCTGGGATCACGTTGCTGCATGCTACTCCGGGTTTCTTGACCAGAGAGAGGACGCGCAGATGATGGTGAAAGACTCCGGTGTCGTCGACAGGGCAGCGATGGCTTCGTCTGCTCAAAGAAAGCTGCGGCATGATGCTCGGGTTTCGGGGTTGGTGTTTCTGCTTCGGAGGTAATCGAGAGGTCCTTGGGATGATCCAAAGGTTCCTTTCCTGATGCCACTTCGGGGGTGGCATCCTCCTCCTCCTCCTGCTCAGGAGCAGGTGTGGTAACCTCCGACACGTCATAGAGTGTAGAGGCTGACGATTCCAAATGATCGGATTCGTATTCGGAGTAGGAAAGGGTACGGGCTGGGGTAAGGGCGAAGTCCGGTTGAGAGCCATCCGCATGGGAATCCACAGACGAGTTCGAGCACATGGTCATGGAGCGCGGAGACGGCGGCAGGTGGTCTTTAACAATGGACTCCTCATCCGCAATTTCAAGCGGCTCCTCTGTCATCAAGATCGGATCGCAGTAGTACTCATCGTCGAAAAGAGAGGGGCACGAATCGGCACTGCTGGAGGTGACGGAGCCAGAATCGGCGGATTTGTGCCAGGGATGTTGCTCGGGAAGGTATGATGCAAAGTATCGAACAAGCGAATCAAGCGACCTTGTTCGGAAGAGCTGGACAGCGTGCTGCCACTGATCGGTCCCAATCAGGGAAGGGTTTCCAATGATCTCGAATGCTGCAGATTCAAGAGACTCGTTCAGTTCGCGAACGCGGAGTTGCTTCCGCTCGGCAAGGAGCTGATGTAACTCATCGGCGGTGGTGGCCCTGTGTGCTAGTTCGTAGACGTCATGGTGAAAGGCCTCGGGGTCGAGAATGGCGAGGCTAAAGGTGTTGTACTGGTCGTGGAGCTTGGTTTCGAGGTCCTCTCTCTGTAAGCCAAACTTCCAGTAAGGCCATGTCCATCCTGGTCCGGTCGGATCGTCCATCTGGGGAGAAGTGCGGTATGATGAAGGGGGTGGGTTCGGTGTGTCGGTCGAGGTTGAGTAGGGGTCCAAATGCGAACAAGAAGAGAAAATTCAGTGGGTATTGTATTGCTGTGATTAGATTGGTCTTAGGTAGGTTAGGTAGAGCTGCGAGGTTTTGCGTCGTTCCGTAGTTGGGTGGGGGACAGAAATGAAGCCAAAGTCGAAAACCGGGTGAGCGGTGGTTCACCTCAAGGTGATGGGATGTTCAAAATCAAGACTCGCGGGCCTTGCACTGGTGCAGAAAGCCATTTAGTAACCGACAAAATCACACATGGTGAAGGGATAAGTATCTGTTGATTTTATTTTTTGGTGTTTTGGTGGAAAGGTAGGGGTCCGATGCCGACGGGAGTCTCGATCGTGCTCAATTGCAGGTGAGCTCGTTGAGGTTTGAAGGTGAGGTAACGACGGCGGTGATGGGGAGATGAAGGCCTCAAGCAGAAGGAGGACGAAGCGAACGGGGGGATGCGCTGGGTGTTGGAAAGACCAGCAGAGTGCTGCGACGCCACAGACTGTCTCGCCAGACGGCCCCCAACGCCAGATGGTCTGGGTGCTTGGCAGAGATGTTACCCAATGAGATGGTCGCTGAGGTGGGCTCGGCAGGAAAGGGAACGGAAAGCGGGACACGAGGAGCTGCGCCTGCGGCCGGAGGGTTACACTCAGCTAACACCCAGCCAATCGAAGCGACAGCCACTCACACTGATTGCTACACAATAATCCTCTTCCGGTCTAGCTTCTAAAAGACTTGCATGAAGCACATTTTTCGTCATCCCTCACTTCGCGCGCTGTTGTCTCTGGAATGGAATGCCCGATTGCGGTCAAATCATTGCACTTTCGACCTGGCACCCTCCGCCCATTCCTTGCAGGTCATCAGTGTGTGTTGCCTACCGTCGTCCGTCTTTTCCGTCATCGTGACTTGCGCTGCCCTCCGTCCGATACGGCGATTGAGGTTTTCTTTCAGATCATGGTGAATCATCGAGACTTTGTTGACGGGCGACATCTTTCGGTTGTGAAATCAAGACTTTGACGATGCTAGCTCAAACGAGTCATGACAAAATCATGACAATGGCGGCCATTCACGGGTAAAAACAGCATCAATAAATTGCAAACGCCGTCCAGCCGCTCTTGCCTGGAACAGCAACTGCAACAACGCGACCTTTTCGGAACCCCCCCACCCTCTTACCCTTCCTTCCTCACCCCATCAGTCAGCCCAGCGCCAACAGAAGAAGGCGCACCCAGCCGCAAACCTGAGCCATCCTTCAGTTGTGTTGAGGTTCATTCGGTTCCAATTCGAGGGAAAATCAGGGAAGGCAGCAAATGTGCTGGTTGGGCTCACTCCAGTCTCTCGGCAAACGAGGGCTTTGAGGTGTGGCAACACAAACCGAAGGATCGAGGGCGCTGACATCAGAACTGAGTGCAAATTGGAGATCGAGTGAGTGTCAAGATGCGAGTCTGACGACAACCTCCGACTCCCACTCACTTTCAAAGGCTCACCACCAGGCTCGTCATCGGTGGGAAACCTCTTCCCTTTTATGGTTCAACTCCGTTTGTATGACGGAAGCAGGAAGTCCAGATCGACACTACAACATGAGCACATGTGTTGTGACCCGCGTGTGCTTGTTGCTGATGATGAGAGACTCGACTCGGTGCCAGAATGTTCACCGCGGTGAGTTAGTTGGAGGAGGAACGTGACACAGGAAAGCGACCAAGGGCCCATCGGCGATAAACCAGATGGCATCAACTGACGATAGCAAGTGGCCGCCTTGGCAGCTGACGGCCCCTCATGTGGTGCTGCCTCGAGAACCCGACGCGCTTTCCAGTTTCAGGTGGACCATGGATGAACCAGTCAGACTCGATTGTCAACGCTGTTCTTGGCCATCGGGGGCAGGGAACATGGCGCCAATGAAGCCTCATGAGGCCCAACACCAGCGTGGGATGGTCGCCGGCTGCCGTCCCTTACAAATACTATATCCTGCTTTCCTGGCCATCTTCTTCTCTTGTGTTGGAGGTTTTCCGGCTGATGGCTCTGCATTTTCGCAGTCCTTGAATCATCTGGTCGTCCGTCTCAAAGTCGAGATAGACGATGTGACAGGCGGGGGGCATGGGCTGAGAGGCACTGCACTAACATGGCAGCACCGCCCTCTTCGGGGAGTTGTGCTAGCTAGGCACCAGCCTCAGCTCACTTACTATCTGTTGGACTGGTCAGGTCGGGTCGTCTCTTCTTCGTCGCGTTTCGATTGATGACTCTCTCCCCCCCTCTCTTACACTTTCCCCTCTTCTCTCTCGCCCTGTTCTGAGCTTCTCTGACCCCTGGCGCACACATCTTGTCTGACATTGCAAAGAAAACGGCCCGGAGCTCTTGTTCTTCCATCTTGTTCGGCGAGGCTGAGACTAAGGTGTCCCATCAGGAGGCTTGCTCTTCCACCTGCCCTCGTCTCGTCCGTTCATCTGACAACCTATTGATGGTCATTCTGCAACAATAGCAATTATGGCTCCTTGAACACGACAATAACTTGTTTTTGTCCTTTGCAGCCCGCTGAATTTGTTGCAGCAGGGCTCTTGCTTGGTTCGCATTTAGTCTGACCAACGCGCTTCAGTTCTTCTTTTCAGCGGTAGTCTGCCGAATCACCTTGACTATACTACAGCTGCCATTCGCTCTATCTGCGCTCTTCTATACCACCTTACCACAAACCCGATTTCCATAGCCGCCTACCAGTTGGTTTGATAGGACGCTTGAACCATCGTTCAACCAGCACAAACATTGCAATACCTTGTCCCTCGATCCGTGCACCGGCCCGCGGCATGGTTGACTCCAAGGAAACCTCCGAATTCTCGGAGAAGACGGAGGCCTTCTCCCAGTCCGAGATCCTGGCGCGGTTTCGAGATGACCGCCGCGAGAGGGAAGAACTTCAACTTGCCCTTACCAGCACCGTCTCGCTCGATAGCCTAGTTATTCCACCGGATGAGGACATTCGAATTCTTTTCAGGCCGCCCCGGGGGCGACCGGTCAGTCCAGGTAGCTTGGAGAATTGCAGGTGGCTAGCTCTGCGTGCCGAGGTTGCAGGAAAGGATCAGGCACAACACAAGGTGCTTGCCGTCACGCAAACATCCCGGGATATCAAGTTCTCCGTCCGAATCCCTGGCATGCTGTGGTGCGAGCTCTATTATGATCCGGCCAGCGATAAGCTCATCCTTGTCAATCGTTCCAATGCACCATTCATCCTATCCCGTGCCTCCACTACCGCTTCAGGGGATAACGAGGAATACGAGGTCAATCCAGGCTTCAATAAAGACGTCTTTCCAGGCACCTGGCGTATCAGGTTCTACAATTCCGATGTGCTTGACTTTCGTATCCTTGAGAAAAAGCCATCACTTTTCCGGATTCCATCTATCGATTCATCAACTTCATGCCAGCTCGTGAGAAAGCGCTCCTATGTGGGTGATGAAGAAGATGAAAATTCGAGCAACAAGAAGCCTCGAGCATCCGAGGACAGCGAAATCAAGAAAGAAGACACCGACATTAAGGAAGATGGCGTCATCATGTTCTTGCCAGCAAAGACGAAGCCGCTCGTTCTTCCAAGCCTGGCTGGGGAGAAAAAAGAACTCGTCTCCGCGAACGGCAGAAGGGAGCTTGTTGCATCCGACGGAAACCTCCTTCAAATTCAACCTGACGAGACGGTCCAAGTTACTGGTGGCGAGCTTGACGAGTATACACTCACAAAGAAATCGGACATTGCCTCGTCAAGCTTATCGAGCGTTTTCACCGCTGACCACTCAAATGTGCCAGATGGAGTTATTGTGGTAAAGGTGCTCAAGACCCGAACTCCGGCCACCGTCAACAACACCGCTATGGAATCCAGGAACGTGATCCATCAAGCCGATGTCTGGCTTCGAGAGCTTCAGTATCAGGAGAAGCTCCAGCACAAGAGCATCGTACGTCTATACGGCGGCGACGCTCGCTTCCTATCTCTGTACATGGAGCACGTTGATGCTCGAGATCTAGGATCCAAGGGAATGTGGCGACGGATGAACGACCGGTTTGCCGGTGACCGATCAGACGCAAAGCGCATCGTTCGGGACATTGCCAGTGCACTGCAGTACATCCATGGACGCGGTCTAGTCCACAATGACATCAAACCCGCCAACATTCTCTACAGCAGAGAGCGTGGGGCCGTCCTGTGCGATCTAGGTCTATCTACCCACGCCAGGGACCCCCCTTCAATCGGCGGTACACCATGGTACATCCCACCAGAATTCATTGCCCTAAAACAACGTGGAGCCCCCAGCGATGTTTGGGCCCTGGGAGTGACCATGCTGTACGTCATGGGGAAGATCGCTTTCCCGGACGCTCGTGGCAACAGAGCGCATCCCCAACATCTTCACTGGCTTATTGCCAAAGTTCACCCAAACCCACGCGATCGGAATCCTCAACCGAGCGCGGTCAAACACATGCAGCAATGGCTGGGTGAAGTCAACATGGCTCGTGCACAGCTCGATACGCGAGATGATCAAGAGAGGCTAGTGTACGATATGCTATCACCAAATCCAAACCAGAGAATCACGATGAGGGAGATCGTGGCTCGAGTCCACGACCAAATCCCAGAGGAATGAGAGAATACCATGTTTGATATTTCGCGATATCTACACTGGCCATATACACCTGTATCTACGCACCATTTTGGTTGAAATCAAGGAGGATTTATATCACCCCACACAGTAAGTCCACAACGCTCCTTCTTGGGTCACAAACTCATGGAAGCGTTGCTCACACCCGGTAGTATCAGAATCTTGTATTTTCAAACTCAAGCTCGCAATTTCCGTGGCATCATCAACAAAAAAACCGATCCCCGTTCCCCGTTTATAGCACCATACCAGTCACAAAGCTCAAAGTCATACCCACAACAGCTGTGAGAGCGACCTTGTTCAACCCAGCGAGCGAAGCACCGCTCTTCTTGCCGTCTGCGCTCTCGCCGCCTTCGGTGCTATTGCCGCTCGGCCCCTTGACCTGAACAAACGACACCTTATCATCAGTCTTACACTCATCCTTCGACAGCGTCGTGGCGTTGGCGCGGAATGTGATATCGGCGCACTGTTACCATTCCTGATTAGCGTATTTTCTTTCCCACTCATCACCTTCTTGCCCCTTCCAGGAGCCAAATAAAAGGAAAAACTCACGTTATACAAGGCACTGCCACTCGCCCCCACCGTGACAACCTGGATACTTCCCTCCTGGCCATCCGACATAGTCAAGCCCTTGGGAAGCGGCAAGTCAACGCAGAGCGTACCCGCTCCCGATACGTTCCAGAACGTGGGGCCGGTGAGGGTGTAGTTGAAGTTGGTCACGTTGACGCCCAGACCGAGGTTGATGAACAGGTACTCCCACGGGTGGTGCAGATCGAGCTTGACGCTGCCGCCTTTAAGGGGCCAGTCGGTGCGGTTACCGGAGGTGGAGGTGGCGGGGGGGACGCCGGCGCCTATGGATGGGGAAGGTGTGTTAGCTTCTCAAATTTGAGGTGGGAAGAGAGGAAGGAAATGAGGGGAGAGTGATGGATCAAGCTTACAAGGGTAGTTCCATTGGGAGTAGTTGGTGCCGGACTCCAGGGTGTTGGCGCGCCAGACGGGGTATTCGAGGTTAAAGTGCGCGGAAGCGAGAGGCGCGATGGCCGCTGTGAGGAGGAGAGTTGCTGAAACCATTTTCGTTGATGTTCGCTGTCTGCGTTGATGGTTGTCGGCGCGTGTCGCTTCGAGGATCCGAATAATTACAAAGTCGCGGAGCTTTTCGGAAAGGTCGTGCGTAACCAGGTATTCTTAAATGGTTTGTTTTGTTTTCAATTATCGGAGGCTGACAGTAAATCCTCAATTCGGTGGACGGTTGAAAAGCACGGGCGAGGAGAGGAAGGGTAGAAGACCTTGGACTTGTTTGCGAAGGGGAAAGAACACAACTTTTTAATACCCCAGGCTTGTTTGGTTGTACATAATTTTATTCGCGCTTTCTGATTCGATAATTGACTGATGAATTTCAATTCCCATTCACCGAACCGATGAACAACAAAGTGAGCAAGTTGTTGGTGCCACCAACGTGGAATATGTACATAGGATGCGTGGCGGCGGCAGGCCCCACTATCTTGCTCAAGCTCAGTGCACTGCAGCCTTGATACGTAGCTTCCATGTATTCAGGTATGTACCGTTTTGGGGACGTACCTTCCACTACCTTTACCTTTTAAGCTGTGAATAACAAGGAAGAGGAAAAAAAGTGAAATAATCCATGGTCGCAACTTCGCGGCAGCTTTCAGAACCAGCTTTGAATTTCAAGCGGGAGCAGTGCGGGATGTCACTTTTTCTTGGCAATCCAATAACCTCACCAAAACGGGACACTAACGAAGTGAGCAAGTTATAAGTCAAGAAGGCGTTCCCTCCCCCATCCCATCTGATACTTGTCCTCCTTCCACCTAGGTATGTAGCCAGCCTTTGCTCCTATCGAGTCGAGGTTGAGGTCGTCTTCGGTTTTCTTTCGATGTCACGGTCTGGACACCAGAATCGGATTGAGAAAGGCCCCATTGCGTTGGCGAAGTGATCTTTTCTTCGAACGATTCGGGCAATGATATTAAAGCCGCCGTAGGTACTGATCCAGTTCGATTGAGGTAGCGAAGAAAACAAGTTAAGTTTTCGTGGGGTTGAAGGAAGGTTAGTTGGTGGTTGGTCGGTGTTGGAACATCGATGTAAACTTGCTCAAATGAACGCGCCGCACGAGGTTGGGGTTGGTCAGTCGGTCGGGGTTGGGGAAGGTGCATGCTGCAGGGGCATGCGGGAAGGGACCATCACCACTAACTAAGATCCAACGAAGCTCCAAGCTCCCAAGCACGCTCATACCAGACAGACGAGGCTGGCACCTTTGAGTTTCGGGCACTCATAACATACATCGATGGCGATCAACGTATTTGAAGGTGCCACGCAGCTTTCTGGTTAATGGTATAGCAAGGTAGGTACAGGTGTTATGGGCAAAGTTAAGTCGATAGGCGGGGTAAGTACCCAAGTACCGAACCTTATATAACCCCGGATTTTTGGCTTAGGATGGTGCGGGTGGTTCGTGCCAGGTACTTCAGTTACCTAACAGGGGGGGTTGTGTCTTTTTCCTGCTCGTTGATGCAGTCCCGAATTTATATTCTACCATTGATAGACCTCAACCTCCCGACTTCAAGGTGCACGTCGAGATTCACAAATCTTGGGGAAACCATACTTTACTTCTTCTGCTGTTTCAGTCGCTTTGCATCTGATGCATAGACAACTCGGGAACGCACGTGGGTGCTTTGTCAGACGAACAAGTTCCGCATGAAAAAAAAATACATAGATGGGATGAACAAACTGCGTTGGTACCTGATCGGCATTTTGTCTGTGCAGCGCGTTGCAGACAAGAGTTCGGATGGTGTTCCGGGTAGTCGGTAGTACAGTAGTGTATTCTTCAGCAAGAAACAAACTACGTCACAGAGCTGTGACGATCAAGTTGGCTCTTTGCTGTCGTGCTGCACTCCATGTAAGTGTCTCTCCTCTTCGACGTTGAACGAAGCAAGGTTTCAAAATGACATGCACCAGCAATTCTTGGCAACAATCACCCAAAAGCGCGCCAGTGGTTTAGTGGTAAAATCCATCGTTGCCATCGATGGGCCCCGCGTTCGATTCGCGGCTGGCGCATTGGTTTCTTGAACGAGTCAGTTTGATTTTTTTCCCATCTTTTTTGAATTTTTTGTTTTTGTCGTGTGTTGTCCCACTTGAACACTCGGGCGGAAAGCCGGGATGGCATGCCTGCCAAATTTTTCGCTCTTGCGGGTGGTAGGAATTACCGAGGTTATGAAGCCCCGCTCAAAACCAAATCCTCAATAAACGGTCCGATGGTGTAGTTGGTTATCACGTCAGTCTAACACACTGAAGGTCCCCAGATCGAGCCTGGGTCGGATCAATTAATGTTTTCTTTTTTTGCGAAATTTCATTTGGTCAACTTTCTTTTTCCCCGTGGATATGATGACTTCCAATGTTTTGATCGCTAATGCGATGAGATGCGTGCATGTCTTTTGTATAAAGAAATTCATTCTGTCTTCACGTTCCCGCGCTTGATGGGTTTAATTTTTCCTGGTGAGTGCTTTGCAGTGCATACCAAATTGAATAACTTGGACCTTGCTGGAAATCTTCGACCCGATAACTTCAATCACGGACAGCATAGGGGAAAGAGGAGATAAAGAAATATGAATGTATCCTATGTTCATTATCATCAGCCAGTTGGTATCATATGTACAAAACCCCTAAAAATACAAATTAACTCCATCCATGTGTACCCATATGCAAAAGTCCCTGCCCGACATTGCCTATTTCTTCAGTGTCCCCTAACCATTAATCACTCCCCTCTCTCAGATAGGACTAGTATCTTCATCAAAATAATACCCCCAAACGCTGTCCACATCCGCCACATACACAGTCGGGCTGACCTTCCTCAAGCCCTTTGCCCATAGCTCCCTCTGCTCATCCGCCGGATCAAACACCGGCGTCGCCACCCGCAAATGCAACGACGACACCCGTCTCGCCAACCGATCAGGTACAGACGGCGACCCCCCCTCCCTAGCGTTAAACCGATCAATGATGCCAATCAGCTGTGTGAAAGCCTCGGCTTCGGCCTTGCTGCATTCACGGGCGGTGGGGTCATCCAGGTCTACATCCGACGGGCTCATTCCGCGGCGGCGGCGGCTTCGGGTGTCGAGCTTGTAAGTCTTTGGCTGCCGTCTTGCATTTCCTGTTGTTCCCGTGGTAGTTGTTGTTGTTGTGTCGTTGTCTTCGGACCCCGTCGAGTCGTCTGCTGACTCTGACTGTTGTCGTCGGAGGTTGGGCACGCTCTTTCTGCTCGTGGGGTAGTAAGCCTGGGAGGAGGGGCGGAAGTTGATGCGGGGTGGCGGGTTGCGCTTGCCGGGGTAGAAGCTGGAGCGGTGCAGTGGGAATCCTGAAGAAGAAGAAGAAGGTGATGAAGACGAGACTTGAGAGTAGGTGGATCCTACGGACCAGGGACGGAGGGGTGATTTGACTGGTGGTGAGGGAGGCGCGTAGGTGGGTGGTGGAGGTGTTTGGGTTGCGTCGGAGATGATGCTGACGTCGTCATTGTAAACGTCTGGTTCAAGTTCTGGGACTTGGTCGGATCCTGATGAGAGGGGCCGTGATGGTGATGAGTCTGATCCACTTGATAGAGGTCGGTTTGGTGTTGGTAGGGGAGGGGGTATTTGGTGGTGTCCCCTGGACGTTGAGGGTCGTTGTGGTGATTTCGGGCGAGGGGGTATTTTGTAGTGTCCCCTGGCCGTTGAGGGTCGTTGTGGTGATTTTGGGGGAGGTGGAACCCAGCCAGCGTTGGACGAGGAGTAATTGTTTTCGCCATGTGTTGAGTTGGTGTTTGGTACAGAAAGATGTGTTGACTGTGTGTTGGATGCGGTGATGTCCACGCTTGATTTCTTTCTGCAGGCAACAGGCCGTGGAAGTGAAAAGTTCAGAAACACGGTAGAGGACTCTTCCTTGGGCCGGAACTCAGAAAGCGGTCTCGGTGCTGGAGATGCATTGTTCGGGATAACTAGAGGTGGAAGTGATGTCCCTCGTGTATGTCTGGATGTGGGTAATGGAGGCCATCGAGGAGGCCGTTGAGGAGGCCGTCGAGGTGGTCCAATGTAGACATCTGTAATGTAATCCCGGCCGATGCCAGATTTAGACATGCTATGGCCATGCAGTGCTGCCATGCTGGTGGTGTGAGGTACCGAGGATGGGTTCGGGGAGCCTTCTGGCTACAGAGGACGAACGAAGTCAAAGCAAACAAAGTGGACAGTTGACGCGACTCTTAAATAGGTACAATACGGTGAAGCAGGAGGCCTTCCCAACAAACCGGACAAAGCTCATGTGGACTCACTCGAGTCAAGATAGCTGCAGATTTTGTGTAGATCTGAGTGGGTGTCGTCAGAGAAGGATTCAAAAAATGGAGTAGCAGTACGGTGCGAAGGTGGCTGAGATAGTGCGATCACCTCACTGGTACACCAATTGGATACTCATAGAGGAGATTCTTATGGTTAGTGAAGCTCTTCGACCTCGTATTATTGCTCGAATCCCGTCCACTGGATCCACGTTTAAACTTGGGAGTGGCACACAGCCAGGAACCACTACGGGAGATCTGCTGGCAACGGCCGCGCACAAGCAAGTTTTAGCGCTGAAACAAATGTTGCCATGTTGACCGAGGTTTGCTCAAGTCCGAAGTGCGGGGAGGTTTGTTGGAGATAACAAGTTCCTCCAAGCTAAAGAATTGGGGATTCGGATGCCCTGCCCAGGCAGGCAGGCACCTGACGGACTTTTGGATTGAAATTTAGGTTTTTACTGCGGCTGGGATTCGGCGACGTTTCTGTTCTTCAGTGGACTGGAGCGTGGCTGCGCTATAAATATGAATCGGATGACGTTGCGTCGGTGCCAAGCTCAGCCCCGCATGGGTCAAAACTGCCCGGACGGGAGCGGCCTCCGGTCTTAGTGTACACTAAACACACCGGATGATTTGGGCCCGCTGTGCCGAGGCAAGGCATCCTGGAGTTTGGAGTTTGTACCTGTTCCTTTTCCACTTTGTTCACCAGCATAACCATGTAGTGACACCATACAAGAGTCTTCCAGACTGTCAAGTGACCACACAAAGGTTCGCAGATGAATCGGATACGGACCAACGACCTTGGAGCGACGAATCAGGATACCAGTCGCAATCGTTGGATGTCCGGCTTGGCAGCGACCATGATTCGCACCACGAAATGCCTCCAAGAAAAACGTGATGACCACGAGCGCGCAACGGTCTAGGTACGCTCTTGACCGGCCCGCTCTTCGGTATACCGTCCTCTGAATGTACGCGCAAGTGCCATCATGGCTGAGACATGCGATCGATATGATTGTCAGGGGAGATAAGCGAGGATCTGCCAGGATCACTGCCTTGCGAAATCGGCAATCTGTCCCTGCAATAAAAAGAAAGGACTATCAACAGAAGACAAGATTGGAATTGCCGGTTATCATTACCAGATGTATCGATGCAAGCACCGACACGTTGCACAACGTAAGCTCTGTGTAACGAACACTCGCGGCAGAAATAGCGATGAACGGGCACCATGCATACCTCTACTGGGGGATAACGTGGTTTAACCGACAGAAAGACAGCTTCAATTCTCACTCAGTCTATGCTCTCTCCAAAGGAAACCGTAAAATCAAACGACAAACGCCTCGCTTCGCTATCTATGGTAGAACCTAGGTATCCCAAAAAGCAAAACGCCTGCCTATCTGCCCGCCTGCCGGAATATGACGTCATGTACAGATCCTTTTTCCCTTCTTCCATGTATTTTTTACCTACCCAGGCACCAAGATGATCACCACCATTCTTCATGAAACAGTCCCGCCGTCGTTGTATGGGGCAGCAGCGCCACCCGCTTCGGCAACGGCGCCAAGATCGTCAACTCCTTCGTCTGCCCGACCCCTGCATATCGATATCCATATCCATAATCCTGCCGCTCATACCACGGCACACCATCCTTGGATCCCTCTTTTGGCGACGACCGTGGCGATGATCTCGTCGACTTGAGAGAGCATACCGTCGTAACCCGGCTCCTGACCTTCTTCAGCTCCTCCAGCCTCTGCAACAACTTCCCCCTATTCCACAGCCTCTTGACATGCAGCTGCTTAACACCGTCCTCCGAATCGTACACCGTTCCTGGCACCGGTGGCTCAAAAAGAACCACGCTCTCTGCCCACGCCCTGGCTAACTCCTCGTCCTCGTCTGAGAAAGTAAACGTCACGCTGTCTTCGTCATCCGGTTGCCGCATGGTGATGAACCAGGTGAGGAAGCTGGGCATGGCTAGTGTGACTTCTTTAGAGGCGGCATGAAACACGACAAGTCGTCGGTAGCCTGGTACAGCCTGCGCATAAGGTGGCCGCGAATCTTCGGCTTCGAGGTAGGCGGCGTAGGCGGCGGCGAGGGCGCGGTGCGAGAAGACGAGGCTTATCCGGTCGTCACAGACCGAGACGTCTATGGCTGCTAATGTCGGCATGGCGCAGGCTTATCTTTTTGTTTTTTGTTTTTTTTTTGTTTTGAGGAAGAAAGAGGCGGGACACGTTGTTGATGATGATGATGATGACACCCGGAGAGGTGGTTGAGACCAGCTCAACAACGGGGCGGGCGGGTGCCGACTGTTTTGGTGTTGCAGTGAGTTGTTGTCGACTTATCGTTGACTTCTCTGTTTGTCTTGCACTTCGCGAGCAGCTCAGCGGGTCTTGGCGGCTGTCTTTGTCGGCGCTGCAATATGGATGCGAATACGATAAAAGCCCAACTGCTGACGAGTCGACTTTGGCTACACTCTAATCTTCGGCAGTTCCCTGGGCCCGATGTTGGCTCAATACTCCTGTGGAAACAAGGGACCAGCGATGCGAAAATATTGTCGAACTTTGATTGTGCGTAGTAAGTCAAAATTGACAATATCGAAAGCTGGACAACGAAAAAAAATCAGATCCAGGCGCGCGGGAATAGCAGCACATGCAGTATTAAAAAAGCCTCTATCTACCTAGTCGTACCATCAGCTATGTAGGAAATGATATTACAACGTCGTCTCCATTGTTGATAATGTTATAAGCCAATGAAGCGAGTCCAGTTGTTCGATGTGCCGGTTTTTTCTTTCTCCTCCTCTTTGCTCGAATTTTTTTCTCTTCCACTCGTTTTATTCTGTTGCATGCAAGTGGAAGCTACCTTAGACTAGTAGATCCAGTTTAAGTGGTGAAGTGGCACTCATCTTGCAGCCAGTGGTTTCGCTCGCCACCAGCGCCCGCAGCGCAGATTGAACCACTCGACACTTCATGCATGCACTATACTGCTTCTGATGCAGGTTTGCGGTTCGCCGAGTGTGAATGGATCTTCGCGCGGCTCACGGGGGCGGGGAAAGCACCTGGGATCCTTTTCGGCAAAGAGAAAACTTACCAGGTCGTCATAGTCGCAGTCGCACTCGGGTACTTATTCGTTCGCTTGATATTTCAAACTAACCGTGTCTAACTAATGAAAGAGTCTTCTTGTTCTTTCTTCATATCCAATGTCGCAGTGCCCATCAACCGTGTGAGCCTGTGAGAGAGAGGGATTCGTGTGAATGTTTTTCGCTTGTTTCGCCTTCGATTTGTTTAGAGGTAGGTATGGAAGTGCGGAGAAGGACTATTTGTCCAGTTATCTGTGAGCGAGTAAAGCCGTCCAAGCCGTCATGGGTCTTTCTTTTTGACCATCATGTTGGCACATTTGTGGTTGAAATCGTTCTGGGACGAGTTTCTTCGGTGCTCCATATAAAGACATCCCGACCCCTCCCCGCAAGCAACCACGACAGGAGACATCAGCATCGGACGTCAACTCCTGTACGCTATTATCGCGCGAATCGTGAGATCTGCGAAATATTTGATACGACCTATGTCGACAGCTGTTGAAGATCTTGATATGTATGTAGGTTGATTGGAGGCTATCCCGCTTGCGAAGTCGGCGACTTTCGGTTTTCCTTTCTCAGTAGAGACATCAAGACTGGCCGAGGCATTTTGTTGTAGCACCGCAGGCGCAGAGTCAGACTGACGAGCCCGAGTTATTATCGATGCCCAGCAAAAGACCCAATTATACTTGCGCTTTATGAGACCACCAGCTCTGCCTAAATTTGGTCTTTGCATTCATCCTTCCTTCTACGCTCCGGTTCGAAGACAACACAAGACGCTCGCCAGCCTCACTGACGGGAACTTATCGAGAGGTTTCTTTTTCTTTTTTTTTTTTTTTTTTTTTTTTTTTTTTTTTAGTGTAGTAAGTCGTTCGGCGGCATCTCGGCTTCGAAAAAGACTAGAGAGGAGTCGAAGAAGATGATCTTTCTCACCATCAACCGTAAAGTGAAGTCTCTGCTCCTGCAACTGCAATAAATTTTCCAAACTGTTTCACATCTGCATGTAAGAACTATCGACCCGGAGAAAGAAACACATCTTTTTCATGATGCCAAATGCAGATATCGTGCAGCAGGGTCCAGTCCCATCTCCATCCATCTCCGGTCCATGATCCATATCCCGCATCTCGTCCGTCCTCGACCCCTCCCCGAGCCTCCTTTCTCCGCGCGCTATCGCTGTCTGAGATCTTCAAAAGTCCCACCTGCTGCGGATCGTTCGTTAGGCCAAATCGGCGGGTGGAACCGCATGGCGCCAACGCAACTAGAATTGCAAACGCAAACGGTCCCCGCCCCGCCAACCCGGAGTGTGGGCTGTTTAGTTGTCATCCCGGGAACGAATCAAGGCCAAGCCCGAATCGGTCTTGTGGATCCACTTTTTCTCACCGCGGCACACCTGGGCTCAGCCGCCGGAGGAGTCACCGCACCCGCCTGTCCCCTATCTAAAGGCAACTAACGGAACCCAACGTCAACAAATCGAGCAGATAAAACAGAGTTTGGCTCAACTGGCTCTGTGGTGTAGTGGTAGCATACTTGCTTTGGGTGCAAGTGGTCCCAGGTTCGAACCCTGGCTGAGCCCTGAAGCAATTCATCTGCTTAACTTTTTTTTCTCTTTCTCTATCTTTCTTTTTTCCCATGGCTTTTTGAATTTTCAGTTCCTGAATTGCATCGATGCAGTCGGTTCAGGATCATCCCTGGCAGGGATTTTCTTGGGGGGAGGGGGGATTGAGGCTCAAAAGTTTTAAAAAGAAAAAGCCGTCTGGGCATCTGGTGGGGAGGGGGTTGCGTCGGTGTGTCTGTGTGCGGAATGACGTCCTTTCACATGCTCTTTCGTTCTTTCTGGAGCTTCAGTGATGCGTGCTTTTTGTCGGGACAAGTGTTTCTTTGGTGATGCACGGGACTAGTTGATTGCAGAAGCTTTAACCGGAATGGAAATGTTTGCGTTGTTTTTGTTGAGGTACAAATATGTGCTTCATACTTGTTGACACCGTCGCTAGGCCAAAAAATAAGACCGAAGCCTCGAGCCCTCGAGTTCATCGTTTGACAACGATAGAATTTTTCCGAGGAGAATGATGTCTTGAATTTGCAAAGTCATTTGCAAAACCGCCATGTGTCCGTATGTCCGTATTCTTCTCTGAAATAAGAGTCCTGTGTTTCCAGACACTCCCTCCCTTATAAATTGCATCTTCATTTCGATCATAAGATTACACCCATCGAATTCTTGGAAAGAAGAACCAGTTCGAAGTGAATCAGGGGATGAGGCCCAAGTGAATGAATAGATACCTCGTCGTTGTCGCTTTCTCCTTTCTTTTGTGTATCACCCTGGCCGGCCGTCGCACGCACACACGCATCTACGACATGTTCATGTTCATGGACTGGTTGACGCTAAGCTCTTGAGTCGCCGGCGGCACTTGTCTTGAAATCAGTTCTGCTGTCTCCAGGAGCAGAGAAGCTACTACCATTACCCCAGAACGACAAGCCAAAACACCAAAAGCACTCCTATCTTAGGCTGGAGGCCTGCGATAACTCGGTGATGTTTCGGTACACTTGATTATTTGACATGGCTCAGTGGAACATCGTCTCTAGGCTGGGGATCGAGCTTGGGAGATATACCCTAAGAACTGGTGTGGGAGGGCCACGACTAGGTCTGTGGGCGTGGATATCGACGTTGCCCATCATGCGTGAACGCATCAGCATGTTTACCAGTTAAAGTACATGAGGGTATTGGCTTACACACAAGCCATACCGGGTCGAGTCAAGGTCAACACCAGTCATTGTTCGTCTAGCACAAGTATCACAATATATCACAAATTGAACAGAGGGCAGCTACAATTTGTGGCCTATAGCACTTGGTTTCTACATCTTATGGCTAGGAATGGGTACAGAATGGCAAAGTTATGTTTGATTCCTTCATGACTTCTCTCCCCAGGGTTGACTAAATGCGCCACCCTGCTGGTCCGGACGTTTTCCTACGTCTGAGATTAGAGGCGTTCATCATGATGTGGAGGAAATTTTGCTAGCTTCTGGACGACTCCTGGCCGGGCATGCTGCGTTCATGAGCGCCAACTCTATCCCGGTGCTTTTATTTGGAGCCTGATGTCGAAACTTCCACGGTTGGAAGGGAATGCATGGTAACTCCCCTGGCTAAGATGAGGGAAGTGATAGGGTTGAATACCGTGAACTCGTGCCTCATTGTGTTTATGCTTGAATGGCCTTAAGCAGGCGTCGAACAATCAGGTGTTGCGCCACGGTGACCCTAAAGACTATCCCTAAAGCTTGTTTGGGTTCTACCGTGCTTCAACAACTGCCAGACATGACTGAAACTCGCTCGCAAAAATGAATGAATAAAGAAGTGGGTAGCCTGGACTTCTTCTAGGGACTTCTTCTTCTAGGAGCAGGGAAAATACCATCGGGGTTCATAAACGGAACAACAGCAGGCGCCCGTGAAGTGTGGACTGAGTCCTGAAGAGAACTTACTATCAAAGAACCATAATTCGAGTGTCTTGACAACAAAGTCAGAAAACTAGTGGCTCTCTACTAGAGAAGACCACCGTGACCTGGCTGTCCAGAGTGCCCTAGAAGATGCCCTCGGTCATGATCTCGCTCGCCTTTTCACTCTTCTGTCACGCTTTGTAACCCGGCAACCTACCTGCTTTGAAAATTTCACTACGGTAGTTGCTGAGGCTGGCTGCTTGACAACAGGGGGGAGCGAAGGCCTATATACCCATGCTCTTCAACCTGTACGCGCTCGAATTTCGAGATGTTCACGAAGGGGCTGGCAGCCGCAGCTTCACAGCCCCTGTTGCTCGCGACCAAGGATCAAAGGTCCGAATAGGCGAGCAAGTCAATCGTCCGACATGCCATTGTGTTGAAGCCGCTAGGGATCCTGGGTTCCATCTTGGTGAAAAGCTGGCGGACTTGCGGAGATGACAAGGAAGGATCGCCCATGTCATCACACCTTGATGGCCAGCGTCAACCCTCCACCACTCAGCAGCCTTGGGAAGTGGCTGTTCCTGACCATCTGTGTGGACATTTTTGATTAGCTGTGGCCTGTCTCGAGCGACTTTATTCAACGGGGCAGTGGCGACAAGCCGAGGTAGAAAGTCTCCGACGTGGAACGGCGTCTGGCTGCATTGGAATCGTCCACATCCGGTATGTCGGATGAAGAACCGTTGTTTTGTCGTATGTAACGCTCGTCCGGCCGAGTCCGTAAGTAGGGTGGACATGCAGTCGCTTCTGCCGTAACACTATTCGTCCATGTTGTGTACTGTGACCCGAGTCGAGCGCCACGGCACCAAAAGGACTCGAGCGTCCACTCGTCCGCCCACCCACCAGCTAGCCCGGTAGCGAGAGAGCTCTACGCGGTATCCGGCCACCGAAACTTGTAGGGGGTCGGTCAAGAGAACACCGGCATTGAAGCTCTAGATTGCCGAACATGATAAGCAAGGCCCAGAGTTTTGTATATCTTTGATGTCAGTGACAAATGCTGTTATTCGCTGCTGGATCGGTGTCGAATGCCGTCAAATAACTAGGCAATGGATGCTTCTCGGCTCGAGGAGGGGGTTCCGGAGACGGATCACATGGTAAGACCGGGATGCTTGTTTCCAATTGGCTTTCGCGGTGGTCCGCAGAAAAAGTGTGGTTCCTGATTCCATCATCATCATGGCAAGCGGGAGTGTCTGCCAGGACATGTCGTCCTCAATTCTGAGCCAAGATCCAATGGTCAGCCGATGTCATCGTTATCAGCTTGGCTGATAGTCCGTGTAGTATCCGCGATAAGGGCCAGCCGAGCCGCTTGCGAACAAAATGCGCTGCCAAAATACAAACGAGACGGGAACACACAGAAAGGGCCCGTGTTCATCACCAGTGCAAAAGGTCAAGCAAGTCAAGCCAGCATTCGAAAAGAGCATCGATGGGTTCTGCGGCCATTTCCAATAGCCAAGCCGTTTGCCAATTCGCTAGCGCGTGGCGGGGCTGCGGAACAACCTTGTTCTTTTAACCGGCCGACCTTCGCCCACCAAGTGCACGACCCGACCGACGGCCATCAAGGTTCTCACTTCCATGCGCCCAGTCACCCATCCATCACATCTGTTGGCAAGTTGGCGGAACCGAGCGATGACACCCTCACCAACACGAAGGAAATGGAACGACATTCTGTTCACAGCATTCAACGATAATATCGGTTGATATTGAGTATCAGGTGCCCAGACTCAAACTTGCTCAAAAGGACGAGGGCTATTGTCAATTTTCGTCAAGGGGTCCGTGGATATACATTTGACTAAACTGAGATTACATAAAGAGGGGGAGAATTATGCAGATCCCCCCAAGAAGTATACTGGCTCTTCCGAACTCGCTGACGCTCTGCAGCTCAAACTCAAAAAGCGAGGGCCATGATGGCCAATCCCGCGGCGGCCAAGCCCGAAGCTCCCTGGCGGATGGCACCAGCAGTGGGAGGGGTGGTAGAAGCAGTGGCGTTGACTGAGCCAGCCTGTTCCTGGGACCCGGGAGATGTCGTGGTAGTCGCCGAGACGTGACCAGCGCAGTGCCAATGGTCGCCGTGGGCCTCGCAACCGTAGGATTCCGTCGGGCTGGGCTTCAAAGAGACGGAGGAACCGGACTCGCCATCATGGTCGTCATGATCATGGACTGCGGAGGTGGTCGCAGCTACGGATGAGACGCTGGCAGCGGTCACGACCGTGGCAAGAGAGGTGACCTTGAGACCCTCGCAGTGCCTGAAGTTTGTCAGTTACAATGTCCGTGAGGGCATGACTCGCCGTGGATACATCAACATACCAGTGGTCGCCATGAGGCTCGCAGCCAACCGAAGCAGTGGGCGAGGGAGCGAGGGACTGGGCCAGTGCAGTATGCACGGAACACAAGAGGAACGGCGCAACAGTGGACAGCTTCATGATGCTGATTTTGACGAGTAGCTGGCTGCAAAAATGAGAGTGACGAGTGACTATCGGGTCTGTCTGCTGATGCTTCCTCCTCATCGTGTCGTATTTATCCTCATCCCGAGTTCTGTTGCCCAGCCTTGGCTATCGAGCAATATCCGAGAAGAGGCTGATCATTCTCATGCAGAGATGGTCTATGGTGAGCCGTTGCGGTTGAGTGAGCAGTTCCCAGCCATTGTGAGGAGTCCATCAAGGTGTTTAAAGGATGAGGGACTTGATTCAATATTCGTGAATGCCTCATCTTGGCGGCATGATGGAGTTGATGCCAAGAAAGCCTCTCCTAGACCTGACTTGGAAAACCCAAAGTTTGGTCTTGGTAGACGGCGTGGGAGCGTGAGTCCACCCTCATCCTCCTGGGCTGGTGGGCAGCAGGAAAAAGTAAAATGAGTTGAGACAACGGATGGACTTGGCGTGAAATTCTACAGGCCTCCCGTGGTGATGTTGATGTTTTCCAAGAGCTTAGGGTAAGCTGGGGCTAAAAGATGGAGAATTATCGACTTGTGAAAGCTTCGGTGGCAGTCAGTGATGTTGAGATATCGAGCATCTCGAACGTGGGCTTTTATGGGTCGGTATCGTTGTCTCCGACACGCGCGTGGCATCCCTACGGGCCACATGTCTCCGAGCACATGTCTCGCGACCGGATATTCGAAAAGAATTCTGCACACTGAAGAGGTAAGTATCTGAGGAGTTTGGAGATAAAAACCATCGCACATCAAGAAACAATGATGGACCGTTGCACTAACTGAATAATGTGCCTTCCACTTGGATACACTGCAGTGGAAGAATGTAGCTGCAGTGTGAGATGCTCAACTGACGAGGACAATGGCAACTGCCTTTTTCGGATCCGTCCAATCAATCCATGAGAAATTGCTGCTGAGCCCCACTCGCAGCAGGGGCTCACCGGACGCTTAAAAAAAGGTACGTACCTATCGTCAGAGCTATCTGGCCATCAAGGTTCTCAACCATCAAGGTGCCCTCTGTGCTGAGACAAGATTAGGACCCGTACCACGCTCCGATGCACCAGCAAAGACAGCCCATCCATTGGCTGAGAGGCGTCTTTACCAAGAAAACGACTCCACCGCCTGCAGAAACGACTTGTTCCTGCTGTTTCTCCTCTTCAATTTCGTGGCCACCGCCAGCCTCTCTCTGCTCGGTGTGTGTCCGTCCGTGTTTACTCCAGTCCTGCTCCCCTCCTGCTCCCCTCTTTCACGTGGGCGTTCAGTTTGGAGAACTGGACATCTGGAATGTGTCGATTCCTCCCTTGTACATAGTAGTGATTTCGAACCTCTTTTTTTTTTTATTTTTCGCCAATTCGCAGTCCATATCCGTCTGTGCAGGACTCGCTCGGCACATCCCGCGCCCCTCGTCGCCAAGAGCCCAGTCCGATAGATATCCCCGAAAGATGTAAATGGCGCGTCACTCGCTCCGGTTTGTCTGAAGCTTCCTGGACCCTCAATCCGGATCCACCGCCACGAGCTTGGCCTACCTTTACGACCCCGACGACCGTTACAATTTGGAACCTTGAACATCCACGAGGATTCCTCGATCATATACCAGTTAGGCAATTCGACCGAAGCAGTAAACGTCTTAAACTACACGGCGATCTTCATCGCGACCTTGTTCACCGGTCAATCTCACCCTTCACTTCACTCCCGCGAGTCAACCCATCTCACTTGAGCCTCCGGCCTCGCTACTTAAGGAGCTGTCAACGCCTTCAGCCTATACCTCTTTCATCCTTCACTGAGAGAAGGACATCCTAGCCTGGTTTGTTCACGCAGCCCATCAGCTACTCTTACGATATTCGGCAGCCACCAAACGAGGATAGCTTCTCTCCAGCTCACTCGATATCATCTCAATCCCTAGGCTTCACGCAGCCTATACTCCTCTCGTGGCCCTTAACCTCCAGGGCTTCCAGTACCCCTATTCTCATCATGGCTCGCCTACTTCCCTCAGAAAAGAAATTTATCCTTCAATTTGCTTTGGCGGCGCTCCTTTTTCAGTCCACTTCCGCCTCTCAAATACAACACAGAGCGCCCCAGGTCACAGCTGCTCCCACCGCAATCACCGCTCCAGCCGCCGTTCCCACCGCCATTTCGGGCTGCCACTTGCACGATACAGAAGTGTAATTGTCTTGATATTCTCTCGATATGTATCACTAGATTACTGACCTGGCCTATACAGATTCTGCCTGGCTGGTGAAACCGAGTACTCTATCCACACTACAGCCACTGCCACCTCTGAGCTCCCCGCTCAGTTCACAGGATGCCACTCTCACGAGGATGCGCTGTACGTTCTAGTGCCCCCACCTCCCTGGTCTTGTGGCCTATATTAACTGGAAGCAGATTCTGTGTAAACCCAAGCGGCAATGATGTGGAGATTTCACGAGTAATCGAGGAATCTGAACAAGGTCACGATGACCACGACCATGATGAAGATGAAGCGACGTCCTCTACCTCTACCAGTGAGAAGAAATGTCACTTCCACGCTGGGGTCGAACACTGCACTGGTGGTGATGAGCATGAGGAGGAGAGTGCAACATGCGAAAGGACCGACCGGGACTACAACATTCGTCTCAGAGTCGGTCTCCTGTTCGCCATGTTGGCAACCAGCTCCATTGGTGTCTTCGGTCCCATTCTGCTCTCCAACTTTGTCTCGCCAAACAATGTCTTCGTCACCATCCTTAGACAGTTCGGCACCGGCGTCGTCATCTCGACTGCCTTCATCCACCTCTTGTCTCATGCTCAACTCATGTTTGCCAGCGAATGTCTGGGAGAACTTGGTTATGAGGGAACAGCAGGTGCCATCTCCATGGCCGGCATCTTTATTTCGTTCCTTGCAGAGTATCTCGGCGTTCGTGTCCTGCAGTGGCACGCCGCTAAAACGGAGGCACGCAACATCGAGAACGGTGGAGAGAAAGGAGACTCGGCTCAGAGGGCCGAGATGGTTAACATACTGGTCTTGGAGTGCGGTGTTATCTTCCATTCTATTCGTAAGTTAGACCGGCCCTATTACCCTTTCTGTTGGACTACCGCTGATCAAGTATCACAGTAATCGGTATTACCTTGGTTGTTGCTGGCGACACCTTCTTCCTCACCCTTTTCGCAGTAATTGTGTTCCATCAAATGTTTGAGGGTATTGCGCTTGGTTCTCGCATCGCAGCTCTCGGAACTCTCCCGCCGATCAACGCGGCCTCCTCGGTCCACGGCCATTCGCACCACGGTCACAGCCACCACGGCCACAGTCACTCTCACGCTCATGAGGCTAAGCGCTCAAGTCTGCCTACTGAGTCCACCTCGCCAACGGGAACCGATCATGGAGTGGTCTCTGAAGACGAGTCAGCAAGAGTCACCGTCATCAAGCCTGTCTCGCTCAAGAAGAAGCTCGTCCTGGCTTCTGGTTTCGCCTTGGTCACCCCTATCGGCATGGCCATCGGTATCGGCGTACTCAAACAGTTCAATGGAAACGACCCTTCGACTATTATCGCTATCGGCACCCTCGACGCCCTTTCGGCCGGCATCCTTATGTGGGTCGGCATCGTCGAAATGTGGGCTCATGACTGGATGCTGGGCGGCGAGATGACTACTGCCAGTCCTCTCCGCACTTTGGCCGGCTTGACTGCCCTTGTTGCAGGTTTGGCTTTGATGAGCTTGCTCGGGAAGTGGGCTTGAGAGACTTGCTGTCGCACACTCTTCTTTCTGGGATATCCATTTTTTATTTTGTATCTTTTATTTTTTTCCTCTCTCTTTCTGGGATTGGCTAAGTCTCTCCAAAAAAATATTGGGTCTCGGTTATTGGGCATAGCGATTGGAAAATTCTGCTTGGATGGCGTTGAATCACGCAAAAGTTTATTGGGTTTGGATTTGGCGCATACCTAATGAAGCATATCAAGACATAATAGTATGACATGGAAAGAAAGCATTTGAGTTATCGAAAGTAAGCGAGTTGGAACGCATATTGGTAGAGGAGAGACAAAGTTTAGATGACCACACCAACAATTCATGATCTTGGCACACTGAGTTCATTGTTCGAAGGTGACAGTTGGATACATAACCCGACGCCATATCCTGCATTGGGCAGGAAGTAGGGGTCCGAGTCTTGCGTAATTTCGAGGTCGCATCTGTCGTTGATCACCGAGCAGTGTTAGGCGACGACGACATGAAATCTCGCACAGAGGGTTTTGTACAATGGCTGGCCTCAACACATGATAGACAGCGGAAGGGATGGTCTTTATTTTGAGATTCTAAAGTAATTCAAAGGAATTGGTGCCCTTTCCTGCTCGCCTTCATTCGATCGATTCAATCCTAAGGTAGGAATGTGATATCGGGACTTGAATTTGCTAAAACAAAAATATAGCTAGCTATGTAGCTAGCTGTCTCATTGGCATTGTCCCTTTCTTTGTCTTCATTGCGAAGGATCACAATTTGATTTCTTGACGCTTTGTTCCACGGCTCAAGGAAACCAAAAAAAAAATGCGGCACATCCCTGTCCGTAACAATGCACGCACACACACACCCTACATTCTGCGTCGTACCTGCCTGCATCCACGACATGACCTAACAAAAACAAAGTAACACAACAGAACGAAAAAGCTACAGGAAGCGTAGAGAAAAAAAAAAAAAAAAAAAAAGCAAATGAGATTGGCACAACACGAAAAGGGGTAAAAAAAATGGAAAAAAGAAATGCCCAATAACAGGATTGAACTGTTGACCTTCGCATGGACTTGATATCTCGTTAGAGAAGATATTAGTACGACGCTCTAACCAGCTGAGCTAATCGGGCTTAGTACTGATTTTTGAAGTATGTGGGCTGGTTCAGGAATTATTAGGGATGATTTGTTCTGCACAGACACGAACCCGCTTGCCCGCCCCCTTGCTGCTGCTGCTGTGATAATTTTATCCTGAGTGCTTGGTGGACACTCATCGATTTCTTTGGCATACTGTATATGTCACACGGAATACTGATGGAGGAGGAAGGAGAGCGGCTTTGTTAAGGTATTGAGAGAATTTAGTTGCATTAGTTCGCTATCAACTACTGGTAAAAGACTGTTCGATGTCGCCATCCAACACCTTTTTTTTTTTTTTAGTCTTGCCTTGGGCTATCTTTCTAAAACCGGATACCTTAGCGAGGTGAAAACTTTTAAAAAGACCACAGATACGCTGATACAAGCAAATGTCCGCTTCTTGAATACCGAAAGGTAGATCTTTCAGGTAGGTTAAAGGTATAGCCTGCACTGCTCAACTTTGCAGTCCCAATTTGAGTTTTCTCTATCACCTGTCCCTCTCCATATGGGGTATTCCTCCTTCTTCCCTTTTTCGATAATACTCTGCAGACTCACGCTCTCAACCCTGAACAGATATTTCAGGAGACCTCTCTCTGTGCTCTGCTTCAGTTCAATCTTCTAACGAATTTCCAGCGGTCAGTATCCCCCCCCCTTTTACTCATCAACCCTTTTATGAAATTAGGACATACCGAGATCAGGGGATGCGGAGGAGGTAAACCCATCTTGGTCTTCCAGAGGGACAGTGACGCCCCCGGGTCCGGGCTCGGCTAACGCCGATTCCATGGCGTTATAAACAGTCCAAACCAGATCATTGACCTCAAGCATGGACCCATTTGAGCCTAGGTTACCAGGGACATCCGGGCTCACCACCTCCAAACTGTTATTGTCATTCGCACAAGCAAGCGGCGACACGCCCTTGGGGATCTTGGCTATGCGTGCGTGCATGTGCCGGTTGGGAAGCCAATATGGATCGAGTCTCAGGGACATCGGATTGGCCGTGATGCTGATGGTGCGGAGGTTGCGCAGCGCCGTCTTGACTTCGTCTTGCGTGCTGCGGTCCTGGAAGAGGCGGACAAAGCTGTGAAGACACTGGATGGTCTCGAGGTGGTAGTAGTCGTAGAGCTTGACGGCTTCCGTGACGGGCAAGACACAATTTTCACTGATTACGGTTATTCCTTCTGTGGTTTGCGGAATGTCGATGAGTCGGGGGCGGCGGAAGACGAAGCTGAGGTGGCGGAGGTTGGGGAAATGGAAGAGAAAGGTGAATGGGTTGGTTGCGCCGGGGCTGGTCCAGTCATAGCCGCCGGGTTGCAGGTCCTCGACGCGGTCGAGCTGGAGCTGGATTCGGTGAATCCGGCTCAGCATGGCAGTAGGCGCCAGGGAAGCGACGTTGGGTCGACCTATTCCCTGCCAGGGTGAAGACTCGTAGATGATCTCGGAGCGACTATTTCTGTTACGAGAGCGGTGGGAGTAGCTCAGCTGAATAGCCATGGTGTCGGTGTATGAGTTGAATAGATAGGTGGGAAGCTCCCTTTGCGACGAAGGAAGCGGGCTTCCCCAGTACACGAAAGCCAACTCGCGGCTCTCCCTGTTGATTTGGAAGAGTCTAATTCCCCGGTAGTGGTCTCGAGTCCCCAGGAACAAGCGGTTTCCGGGACCGTTGTAGTTGCTTAGAAACACGAAATTGCTGATCAGACCTCGAGGGGCTGTGAGGTAACCGGTGACCAGAACTGGATCAACCGACATCTTCCAGATCTTTTGTCGGAGCTCGGCCGGCAGCATTGGAAAGAGGGAAAATCGCTCGCGAAGCTTTCCATCTCTGACCGAGTGGGCCAAGCTGGACGGTTGGTTTGTGTGATTTAGAGAAAGCCACTCGAAATCAGGCAGTGGGGTAAGGGAGGGGACAGATTGTCCTCTGCTAGTTCCATGACTGTTAACCATGAACACGATGGTCATTCAGATAGACGCTCCGAGTCTCTGACTTACGCTTGACTCTCCTCCGGTCGACATCGCACATGATCGATGAAATTGTTGACGATGCCCTCGTAGTCGGGCTCGTCCGTGATTAGACGGTAGAGCACAGATTTTGGTGTCATGGCTAGGTACTTGTAATCCTGATAGAGATTTCGATGACTGTGGGTGTTGTTAACTTGTATCGTGATCACAAGTGGTATCCGAGGCGGCAATAGCGAGAAGTCGCGGTGTCGATTATTAAAAGGGGGATGAATGTGCGTGTGGGATACAACACAGGTGAAATTTAAGTACTAGGAGGTCCGGACATGTTTATTTATATGCGAGGATTAAACCTGCAGGTTCTCGATGCGAACATCTGTGCTGTCCGCAGGTTTGCGTGCGAGTGAATAGGTGGTCGGCGTGAACAACCCACAGGTCCGTGAACAGCCTCAGAAGCATTGAACCTTCGCCATGGTATAGTGAATGAGACGGATCAAGGTCCGCGTAGTAGATGACTGCCAGCATGAGATGGAAAACTGTCTCAGGCATGTTGATGCTATGATGGAGGCAAGGCTTTGGCCGAAACCTTGAGAATCTTCCTAGAAGCTACTTTACTTTCTTTGCCCTTAAAACGCCGTCCACGGTGCCTTGATGCCCCTTCACTGTAAGTTGAGGGTTTAATTGCTTGGCATCACGATTGTGGACGTGGCGGGTACTGAGGGATATTTTTTTGGTCGGGGAGTTCGAAAGCGACCGGTAGTACTAGATATTAAAGGGTTGGATACTGATCTTGAAATTATGGTGCATCCTCCCGTTCTAGATTGTTAGTGTGCTTTATACCCTAGAGCCACCTTACTAGAGTAGGCCGTCGTTGATATGAGCTTATATGACCTGAGAGCTTTGATTGACTTGCGAGCACAGGGCTCAGGCGCTTGCTCTGGGCGACTGCTTGTACCAACATAACTGGATGAACAACAGGCACTAGAACTACTTGTTGAATAGCAACATCCATTCAATTGGAAAGTCTGAGTAGACACCGGTAGTTCGGGGTTTGCTGGTGATGTGAGTTGGGTTGTCCATGCTTTAAAGCACTTGCTTGCTTGATCCCACCTTGCTGTCTCCCCAAACCAGACGCAGAAGCGCCGTCACTTGATGTATTAGTAGCCGTAGGTGGATATTTGGTGATGATAGAGGACATACTAGTTCGGCCCTGATGATCAACAAGCCGAATCGGACACCAATTATCACGGAAATGTGTTATTGTATCAGATGTCACATCCGAGTTGAGCTAGACGATAGCGGCAGCACATGTCGTGCCCGAGGCATATTGTCTCTGTCATTTGGATGTCCTTGTGTTCTTGGGTCATCGCCCGCGGTTTTGAGGGGTTTCTAGTCCCTTTCTCGTTGCGATGGACGACGCATCTCCTGCACCTAGCACAGACAATTGGTACTTTGCTTTATCATCGAAAACCTTTTGGCAATCTGATGCTGAAGATTCTCGTCAGCCCTGGCTCTTCAATGTATGATACGTTGTCAAGTGGAGCTCCGTTGCTCCCTCACCTATCTTTGATCGGCCGCCGGGCTGATGGTAGTGAATGGCACTGCCACACGGCTGCGGAAATCAACGATCCGAAATGTTCTGGTAAAGCGCAGGCTCGTTGGGCACTCTGGCTTAATGTCCAAGTGGGTAGGTCGAAGGTTGCAGCCAAGCCAGATGAGGACTAACGCTCCAACCTTCTAGAAACTGTTGAGCCTGTCGTTGACGAGAACCTTGCAGAAGGCCAGGAGCAATTGCAAGAACGAGTGGTGAAGTTAAGGCGGGTTGCCTTTTGGGGCTGAGCTTGACTCCGTCGCGTCGTGTGATAGCCAGATGTGACCCCATCTCACCCGCATCCCGTGCGTTTGGTTGCTGCCTGTTAGGTCGCTACGTACTAGAAATGGCAAAGCAATTGTCAAGCCACAAGCCACTTGGACCACTCGCGAGTTTAAGAGGAGGGGCGACGGATGATATGAACCTAGCCGTAAACGCCACCGAGGCTTACTGTCGGTTACTGTCGGTGTCGAATTTGGAAAGTACCCTAACAGGAACTGAAGAACCAGATTCTTCCATTGTTGACCATGAACGATGAAATGCACCTTCTATTTCGCTGAGTCGCACTCGAGTTTACCGAGTCCATTTGTGGTCGACAACCGCTACCCTGGCTCGTCCCCGACAAAAAAGTGGTACTTTTCCAGAGTATCAAGTATGGCAAAAGGTGCCACCTTTTTTGTCAGGGACGAGCCTGGGTGCCCGACGGGACCCTTTGTCTGGACCCTTCGGCCGGGGTACGATGTGCCCTGTGGGTCAAAGCGGAAGAGTGGAGCTCTGGGGTAGAGCCCAAGGGGAAGCCACCTAGAGGTACCTAACCGCGGGGATCTGCAATCGACAGCCGGTATGTATGTAGTACGTACTGGGGAAGGGTACACCATGTGCTGTAACGTCCACTGTCAGCTCAACGTCGACTTCCCAAACTACTATAAAAGGCTTCTTCCCCGCCAACCGTCACGATACCTTAGCTCTGAATAACAGTCAACCTTTCAACCGACCATCGACCTGCCTGGCAAGATCAAACAAGACTGGCGGTGTACTTGTGGAATTCAACCATCTCTATGAACGGACAGATCCCAGTCCACCATGTCTCGCCGCTTATCCATCTTCGGGAGGCTGGGTCGCCGAACCTCATCGGCGACGGAAAGCACTGCAATCAGCAATGAGACCGACGGACAAGAAATCGATGGCAACCTCGCACCGCCCCCAGCCTACACCACCGTGGACGAGTCGGCCACGGCGGACTTGACAGCTGCCTTTGATCAACTAAGCCTTTCCAACGCGGCTTCCGATCCAACTGTCGATACCTGTCTTGCCCATTTGAAGCTGTTGTTCGCCATCCAGTCCATGAAGGAAGAGATCGGCTATACAGATGGCCTTTGGGGACTGTGGGACTCCCTTGCCGGGCCTTTCAACCACCTTGAACACACATATGCCGATAAGAAGAAAACCCCTTCTGATTCCAAGAAGCCCCTTGACAAGAACCTACTGGAAGACGCCGACAACGCTGCCAAGAAGACCCTCGAGAATCTCAGCAAGATCCGCGAGAAGCGATGGGCCTTGTTCCTCGCGAGAGCTACCCAGAGATACGAGGCGTGGTGGAAATCGCTGCCTGGCAGTCAGCCATTGACAGAAAAGGACATGGAGGAAGATAAATCCTTTGGATACCAAACGTTTCCTACGGATGACAGTGCTACCTTTGATTGGAGCGAGGACAAGTTACCTCCTCTTGGTATGTCACAGACTCTCCTCCAGAATTGTGCTGGGATTAGCTATTCCTTTTGATACTGACTCTGCACAGACGTATTGATGGTCTGGCATACCCACATGCTCAACCCCCGAGCCTTCCTTGAAGATGCCATGCTAGCTGGCTTGAGAGGCTTCTGGAATAGAGGACTTCCGTGGCATTTGGTCAACGCGGCCATCGACTCCGACTTCAGCTACAATGTAATGGATCAGTGCAAGGCCCGATGGACAAAGCAGACCGGCCTCTCTTGGGACAACCAATCCGATCCACTGGTCAAAGAATTGCAATGCCCCAAATGCAACACTAAATTGTCAATCCCCTGGACAACATGCTCTCGGCCTGAAAACTTCCATAATCAAGCTGAACCATTGGACCTTACCGGCACTGGCTATGGTGACGGCAACCTTCAACACACATGCAAAAGCTGTGGTATTACTATCTGTAAGGAACTCCTTTGTGCTTTCAAGTTTGTCAAAGACGTTGAAGCCTTGCTTGGGCCTGCAAACCGGCCCATCCCAGGAACCGTACTGGAACCTACAACCGGGAGACCCGTGATAGTCCCGCCTGAGCCTGAAAGATCCATCTACCCTCGCACCTTTCCCAACCGTCTTCTAAAAAGTGGATGCAACTCTATTCGGACAAAGGTGATCACGCTCATGGTCTCCAGGCCGAACCCTACCATGCAGGACATTCGTGTTGAAATCGAAGCCATTCTTGGGAACAGCACATGGCTGAGGGAGATCAACAAATACTCGAATCCCAGGAGCGCTGCATACAAGGTTGGCCGTGCCAGTAAGCTCAGCATACGAAAAATGATGGGTCATTATTGGGAGAACTTCAGCCCCTTTGCACTCGATCTGGCTGGCGCCGTTGTGCGACAGGGCATCTTCATTGAAAAGATGTACAAGATTGACTGGCTTCACAGCCCGTCAGCAACCGACACCATGAAGCGACTTCTGCTCAAATATGCTCGTTTCTTCACCATCATGCAGAAGAATCCGACCAAAATGGCAGTCCCTACCCTGGATATCGATCTCGCTTGGCACACACATCAGTTGAGCCCGAGCAAGTATTACAAGTACAGTATCAACACAACCGACAAGTACATCGATCATGACGACAAGGTTGAGGAGGGGAGATTGAGTGAGCAATTTGAATGGACCAGCAAGGAGTACCAGGATACATATGGAGAGGTATACAGCGAGTGCACTTGTTGGTACTGCGAGTGTAAGTTGGACCCGCCAACCAACCGTCCGAGCTCCTCGTTTCTCGGTCCTGACCATAACATCCGTCTCTTAGCTATTCGGACCTCGCACGTGAACTCACTTGGTCAAGTGCTGGGTGTTTCCAAGTCAGAGAAAAGTATGTATTCCCGTGTATTTCCGGTCCGGTCACTCAAACACAGTTTGGATCGCTAACCAACTTCCTTGCAGTTGCCGAAGCTTTCCACACCTCCGAAAAAGCCAAACTCTGCCCACCCGACAAGTCTGCCCACATTTCTTCCCACAACGCCGTGATGCTACACGTCGATCCTTCGCAGCCTAATCTAACCATCCAGAACCGTGTGCGCATGCAACTCGCCGCCCTTCACCAAAAGAGACTGGACGACGCATACGCCAAAGCCAAGAAGCGTGCCGAGAAGAAGGGCAGAACTATTCCGCCCCGGGATGCTGCGTACTACGACCACTGGGGATACCCGTACTACATGGCCGGGCCCTACATGTACCCCATTTGGTTTACCCCGGGCCTCTACTACGGTTGGGATCCGGGATATATTGCCGGCTGTGGGACCGGAGCCAATGGAGCTTGTGCTGCGGGCACCTGCGGAGGAGGCGTTGCTGCGGGTGGTTGTGGTGGTGCCGGGGTAAGTTATCCTCATTCCTATGATGATGGTGGACGTGATGCTAACGTGGATTCGTCTAGGGATGTGGTGGGGTAAGTTATTCTATATGCGTGCCAGCTGGTGCAGGAGGAAGCCCTGCTTGTTCATCAAATGCTAACGGATTCTCTTTGCTTAGGGATGCGGCGGTGGTGCTAGCGGTAGTGCTTGCGGCGGCGGCGGCGGCGGCGGCGGGTGCGGAGGGGGTGGTGGATGCGGAGGAGGAGGGGGAGGAGGAGGAGGAGGAGGCTGTGGTGGCGGTAAGTTAATCCTAAATGAGATTCGTGAAGAGCGATCAAGATACTAACATCTGTGGTACAAAGGCGGATGATGCTAGGATTCCTTATGTTCAGGGTTTATAAGCCGTGATGGTTATTTTGACGACCAACGCTTTTTCGGATACGATATCTATGCTTTTGAATGCGCCAGCTTCCTTTTGCTTTGGTTAATTCGTCCTGTTTTCTGTGTTATTTACGAAGCGGAGTCTCAACAAGCGTTGTCTAGCAGATAATCCATGTTTACAGAACAGTTATTGTTTTCCACATATGGATTGACTTTCAAATTCTTAGAAATCGAAAGTATAAGGTATAACCTTATGTACTTTAGCGGCCGACAAATGACTCATAAAAAGCTACTTCTCGCAAGCCACACCGTGCTGAAGCCTGCCATCCATGGCAAACTCTTTGGATATGACCACGTAAACAGGTAAAAGGCAAGCACGGGAGTTCCGATGCGAGTGTTATGAACTTTACGTTTAGCTGAATGTATCGCACACTCGCCTGTTCATCAAACATATCATGATCAACCCTCTTTCGGACGCAGAAAGGTCATGGATAGCGACTATCGTCTTCCTAGCATCAGGAGATGCGACGGCAATAGCAACAGTCGAGCCAAATCTCATCAGCCAAATCGGGAGCGAAAGCTTTGGAGAAATGAGATGGGCAAGCAATTTCCAGGTAGATGATTATATGATGTTCGCCTCGGCTCACAAGCCCCGTTACTCTGCTTGGACGGCAACTCACCCCTCTCTTTTGATGGACTTAGCCTGGACACCATCATCATTCATACTTGGGTTATTCTGGCTTATGGGATTATCATCACAGCATGGCGGCTACTATAGGGGCGATATATTGGTACGACAATCAACATGGCAAGTTGTCTTCTTTGCCAGCGACGGAAGCACCACGAGATGCAGGCGAACGAGAAGTTATTGACAGAATCCACCATCCCTACGGCCGTCAGCTCACTTAAATTCTTAGCAGCCTTCTAGAACTGAACCATCCTCCATTCTTCAGTGAACGCGTCTCTGTCTTTGGAGCTCCTGCTTCTTAGGTACGGCAAACCAGGTGGTGCAAAATATGACGACGCATACAAAAACAGAAAGATACATGAGTGAAGCATAATATTGAAGGAGCCACCTTGCTCGTCGTTCTCTACTGCCCAAGATAATGAAGAGTGTCTTACAGCCTAGTGCCGACAATGGTAGCCATGACATTCGTGCCTGCCACAAACAAAATGAAGATAAAGTTGGGGACCTTCGGAAAGAGCATTCGGCCAATATAGCTGGAGAAGAGTACATAGGTGGAGAAACAGGATCTGATCCTTCCGTCTGGAAAGACTGTTCCCCATTCCAAACTCTTCTCCTTCACAATCACGACCTCGAGTTGATTTCTTCATCACTGCAGTCGAAGCACCACACACCCGCATCATGAAGTCCAGACGAACCACTGAGTGGGCCCCGTTTCCAAGTCCGTACACGAAAACCAAGGACTGGCAGCGTTTCAAGGCAACCACCGCCGGCACGGCTTATCCTGTTCCTTCTCCCCACCACCAGAGGCTCCCGTCGATGTTGCGTAAGTTGCCCCGGACAGTGTGTCACTTTCATTGTCATTTCAGTTTCAAGCGGCCCTTGATGCCGTCTTTCCGCTTCCAACCATTGTAGACTTTCGAACGGCCTTATACGCCGGCGCAAACCGCCGAGAGTCAGTGTGTTGGGTGGCGAGGAGATAAACAATGTGTACGTACCATCATATCAGGTAATTTGAAGGACGCGCAGCTATCCCACTCCAGTACCCACTCGTCCGTCTCGTCGTCTTCGATGCAATCAAGCTCCAACAAGGAAGCAACTTCATTTGTGGCTCTGGTCAGTCGTCCATCAGGAAATTTAGCGTTTTCATCTACCGCCCGGCACCTTCTGCGCCCTCTAACCCTCTGACCACCCTCAGGCCCGTCACCGGATATACCTCGGGAACGTCGAAGCATATCTCCATCGTACCATTTCCCTCGAACCACCAGATCAGCTTTGGTGCTTGCCTGAAAGGGGTAAAGTGATCTCCAGGCCTCCAATCATCGAGGCCTAAAGGTATCTCTGTCTCATCTGCTCATTCAACGGTTGTGGGATGATTATGCCTGTTGAGACAATGTGATTGGCCGGAGTCGGGCGAGAGGCCGGTGGATGGGATGCGCGGGTTTTCAAAGGAAATAAACGAGTCAACAAAGGTCATTGATGAATGGATTCCAATTGCTAACATTCTGATAAGGAATCAACGGCCATGGGATTGTGGAAATGTCGTGTACACTAGTAGTGCACAAGACTGACCTTAGAGGCGACCAGGCTTCGAGGAAGCAAAACCATCAAAGCCCACATAGCAGCAAAAGATCGACATGTGCCAAGCGCTGCATATGTATTTTTGGCCGCCTTTGCGTCATGGACCTCACCGTGTGTTTTACCATGTCTGACTTACCGCGCAGTAGCTTGCCCAGCCGGGTCCGGGTCCGGGTGACACCTCGTCGGGTTCGGGTGCAGTTCCCGAACTCCGCTTTTTTCTTAGCAGCTGGCCCGCTGCGCCCGTGTTAGCCCGGTGCTTGGGTCCGATTCCCCGTTCAGCGCTCAACACGGACCGAGACTCCCAAGGGCAGCAACATCATTTCGAGCAGATGATTTACTTGCATGATAGGCAAATACCTGGTGCAGGTCCCGTCTCATTTTCGGGATTTCTTCCTATAGGTATACTCGGGTTTCCCTGCTGCCCTGATATAAATACTGAAGACACACACAAGGAACATTTGAGACATTCAGGAACCGAAACAGAGCAGTCTCAGTTGGACAAAATGCACACACCAGACCGCTCGCCTGGTTTCGGGAGTTCCCGTATCGACACCTGCCTATCATATGCTACCGACATAGAAAAATGTCCGAAATTGTCCATTCTTCAGGACGGTGAAGGATGCAATCCAAGTTGACGCCGGGTGTAGTTCCCGCAATGCAAAGACAATCAAAGACTGGTCGAGACCGGTGAACTGGCATTACAGAATCTTCGGTCCGTGAGTCTCCCAGGTACCCATTCGACATCGCAAACACACCATTGTGCTTGTCCCGGGTGCAGTTCCCGTACTCTTCTCTCTCAAGCATCATTTTTTCTCCTTTTCTCCCAAGTCCTCCCGACCGATCGATTTGTCTTGTTGCACAACATCCCAGCCCTTACAGACGGGACTCCCGTCAGCCCGTCGTCCTGCTGCAGCATCGGATTGTTAGGCAAACATATCGGCTCTTTCGGACTCGACTTGCTTACACTGTGACAAAAACATCACTCCCACTCATCCCGCTGCTGTCCTCACTGTCTTTCGAGTACCTCCCTAGGTATTCGACTGCTTGTCTTACAGTGACGTCTTCCATTTTTTTCTCGAGAAACTCCGAAGGTGCCAGATTCTGGAGGAATCGCTACTGGGCTGGTAGAGCTGGGTAGTACATAAAGCCTCAAATAAAACCAAAAGAGACACCACAACGCAGTGCATTCCCAAATCAGAAGGCAGAGCGGATGAATCCTGCCAATCCGGACCCAATTCCGCGCACTTTAGTTCGCTCTCTGGCCTCTCACGCACCGTCCACTTCTTCAGCTATCTATTAGTACCTATGTAAACAGACCAATCAAGTTGCTAACACTGTAGCAAACACACCCAGCCTCCCAATCCACATCCACACTTTCAGCTCTCAGCTCTCTTGGCGTTCAACTCTCCTTACCTCCTCCTCTAGTAATCCTGGAGAGACTCCGACACCCTTGATACCTACCCATCGTTGATTCCACGAATCATGCAGCACTACATAGTACATCAGCTTCTAGAACGCCATCGCCACCGGGAGCCGGGCGGGCAGGTAATGGCAATGCAAATTATGCATTGGCTGTGCTCCGCACGCTTTTTCCACCACAAGGACAAGGCTTCGACTTCGCACGGTCATTATGGTCGGTCGTCGGAGCTGCTGCTGGGTTATGCATTGCTAAGCAGAACGCTACGTAGTCAGTCTACCTAATCCTCTCTAGTGTTATAAGTAGTTACCTAGTCTTCTTCAGGCTCCGGGCTCTCCCTGTTCCATACCTCTACCTAGTAGGCTTTGGTCACGGTGTCTAGACGTAGGCATTGACCTCCATCTGTGCGTCCTGTACCTAGTCCTGTGCCCTGTTTGCCCTGTTGCCATGTGCTGTGCTGCAACTGATGCGAGATGGTCAATCGAAGGAGGAGGTGCATTCCCGCTTCAGTAAAGTAACCATTACATTATGTACCGTCAATGTGTGTTTGCTCGCTGGTGGTCAAAAAGGCTTGCAGATGTGGCGGTTTTGAGGATTTCTTCTTCAGTATTCCATTCTGGCCATCCGGGCAGTTGCGAAAGTAGGTAGTTCACCGCTCTAAGCACCCCCCCCCCCCCCCCCCCCCCTCTTTGAAGTTTCTTTCTCACTTTCATGTGCCAATGTCAAGAGAAATACTGCTAGCATGTACCTTGGATAGTTCATTTTGCACATGTCACGCAGATCTCACGGGTTTTGAATGCAATAATGCACAGTACATTCACCATTTCGTCGAGTTTTTGCTTTTTTCGATTTTTCATGACGATGGGTGCTGCTAATGCTAAACTTCTTTGATTAACCGTATACTTTCAAAGAATTGCCCCATCTAGACAGTATGTTGAGTAACTGTAGGAGAAAGAGGATGTGTTGTGGATGATGATGATGATGATGACGATGATGATGGCGACGAGAAATGAGCGCGCGGCTAGCTAGCGTGCATGCGAACAAGCAGGCAAGCGAGTGAGTGAGTGGGTAAACGAGCGACTTCAAGATATAACACAGTAATTGTTTTTTGCTAAACTAGAATCATACAAAATGCGAGAAAAAGGGGGTATCCGTTGTGATAAAACAGAAACAAAAAAAGAAGTCAACTGTAAAACGAGTCGGTGTTGTATACAAAAAGTGGGTTGTATGAGTGATCGTAGGAGTTTGCTTGATGCCAACTGCATAATAATGTGGCACAAAAACTGTCGTGTCGGTCATCGCTTTGTACGGATCCGAACAGACGGAAAGTTCCCAAAACCCCGTTCCCGTGTATTGGGGGGCAATGGTTGTTTGGTGGCCCATGACGGCCGAAGTGCGTGAATAGATCCTGTCGTTCGTTCGGCCGCCTAGTCGAATGATTGTGAGGCCCGGCCTGATGCAGGTTGAATGTTCATGTCGGGTTTCGTTATAAGCTGCCGATGATTGAGACGACGATCCAGAGAGCTGGTGCTGGGGTTCGATGAACCTCGGTATCCAATTCCGCCATATCGCATTTCAAAGTGCATGCGTGAGTCGAAGATGGGAGTAGCGGCAACACTCGATCCAGTTTCCCCGTTGCTGCCTCCCCCCCTTGCTCACTTTCTCGGTAGTGGTGGTGGTGGTTTTCGTGGACAACTTCCTTTTCTTCAACCAGTCCAGACTTGATGCAGCGAATATTGTGGATATGGCGAAAATTCTGGTGCGGGTGAGGGTGATGGTGATGGGTGCCCCGACATATGCTTTGCCTTCTTGCGACTTTGCGGCGGTACACTGGAACGCACACGGGTGCGCTTGTTGAGACGCGGCTTGGTGAGCTCGTTGTGACGACGATGTTCCCTCCTGTGCCCTGGGTTAGTTTCATTTTACGCATTGAACGAAAAATTGTACTCCAAACATACACTGTCTTCTTTAATTGCTCCTCATCAAACGCGGCTTGTACCTTGGTGAGCACGGGTGCACCGTCGTTCTCGGGGGTCGCTTGTCTCTTCTCGAGAACAGTTGCAAGCCAATTGCGCGTCTGACTGGGTTGAACGGGTTGACTGGATAGAGACACGGATCGCTCTTCAATCTTGGGTGGTTCGACCTTTGGCATTTCCATTTCAACCTTGCTCGTCTCCTCCTCCGTAACCGGTTCAATTTCGGTCACCACTGGTCGGCTGTCGTCGATTTTGGGGAACTCATCGACAATTTCGGGTAGGGCTGCTTCGGACAAAACGCTGAGGGCGGGCGAACCTGGACCAGAACCTGGACATGGAATGTAGTCGACATATGCTTCCTCCCGCACCATGTACAGATCGGAACTCAGCGGAACTGCGACATGTTCGTACCGCTCTGGCGTCTTCACAAATGCATCCAAAACTGAAAGCGAGCCCAGGCTCCATAGAAGTTCTCCGGAAAGAGGCGCCCTGGAATCGGAGGAATCATTGCTGTGACAGATGCCGTGGAACTGGAATGGTTCTCGTGAAACAGCAGGGCTTAATGGCGGCGTCGAATCGGATAGCGGTCGTTGTATCCAGATGGAGGAGAAGTTTTGTGTGACACTGATGTCCGTCGTGTCAATGTCTGCAGCCATGTGGCCCAAGGTTGGACACACGTGTTTTACTGACCTTTCATCGTCATGCTCGGTGGGGTTAAACTCGTCGAAAAGACTCGGCTCACCGTCGTAGGCGTCGTAGAAGATGTCGAGGCTGTGGCGAAGGACAAGGCCGCAATACCTAAAGTCGAGCATGTTGAGGGCCTCCATTGTGGAGTGAGGCAGCAGGCTCTCGGCGGGAAGCTTGTTGAAGCGTGTGAGGATGATACTTGTAAGGCTGATTGATGCCAGGGGACTAGGGTCGAGAGGGACGGGAGGGAGTCGGTTGGTTTTGTTGGAAGGAGAAACAAAGATGGAGCTTGGATGGAGACCAGATGGTGGACACCCAAGATGGAAGGGTTGGGGATGGCAATCCTCTAGTAAGGAGGCCCTGACTCCACAGCCATCAATGAGCCAGCGAGGGGATGCTGGGCGACTGGACGAGGATGGAAGCGTTACTAGTAGTCTAGTGTACTGTAGCTGCTAGTAGTGTAGTTCCAGCGCATTCTCGGCTCTCTTTCCCCAGACCCGGATCAGCTTTATTTCACAAGCGGAGCGTTGGCTGATCACCGGGAAGTGAGAAGACGCCAGCGCTAGGGAAGGCTTGGATTGGTGTCCGGTGCTAGCGGGGCTGTGTGAAATTTAGCGGCCCCAAGACGCTTGACCCAAGAGTGCGGAACTGGAACTATGTACCTACCTTGGTTGATGATGACTGGGCCTGGATTGTGCTGCCGAGCAATGCAGACAAGTGGATGATGGAGACGGCGGGCAAATGGGATGGATGCCAGGTGTTTTGTTACTCGGGCCTGAACAAAAGGCATGTATTGGGGTAGGTCGGGGCAGCGACCCGATTCCCCGGGATAACCTAGGAACCCGGAGGTGTGTCGGTGTCTGTGAGACAGCGGCCGACGGGCTGCTGCTGCTGCTGCTGCTGCTGCTGCTGCTACTGGCGACACGGACAGAGAGACACCCGCTGAAGGGAGAGATGGAACTAATTGGAGGATTGGGACTACAAGGGCAGATGAATTGACGAGTGGGCCACGAGTGGGGGGGACAGTTAAACAGCAATTCGAAGGGGGGGCAAGAAGGCATGCAAAAGAGATATGTAAGGTATGCAAAGCGTCGGGTCGGTGCGAAAAAACCCAAGGGCGGACTGCTGGTGGGATAAAGTCGATGTGTTTGGTAGTAGTAGGAGTATAGCTGTATGTACTGTACTGGCAAAACCGGCACTGCGCACACTGGCTTGGCTGGTTAGGTCTGGATACTGCCAGACAGCCAGACACTACCACCTCACGGCATCAGGCAGTCGGACCAAGTGGGAGAGGGGAAGGCTTGGGAATTGAGAGGAATGGATGAAGCCATCTGGGCCATGCTCCCTTTTCTCGACTGCTTTGGCCCTGTTCCCCGCGGCGCGCACGCAACACAACACAACAGAAGAGATTCCCAAAGGAGGCAGTCGAGCGAGGCGACGGAGGGTTGCCCAAACCCGAAGCGTGCGAATTGCGTCCATGCGAATGGGCAGGTGCCGAGATATTAAGGTTGGTACCAAGCAACAGGAACCTCAAAACGACCGGTCTGGACGAAGACCTCCTGTTGACCTGCTGCTTTGCGCCCAGTGTTTCACCACCGGCTGAGGGTACTGTGGCTCGTACTGGCTGGGACTGGCCGGCTGGTCTGGAAAACAAGAGGAGAGAAGAAACGACACCACAACCTTCCTTCCATCTTCCAGCAGAGACGGAGGGGCCGTCGGGGTTTGCGGTGCTTTTCTGAGTGCGTGGTGTTCGATGGCTCACGGCGTCGCGAACGATACTGTGTCAGACGTCTGTTGTTCACAGAAATGTGACAAAAATAAAAGTGAGAGGAGATGAGACCTAGGCACAATTAGGCAAAGAGGCCAGGGGCGACCCCGGGGTGCCTAGCTTAGCCAGCAACGGCCCCAAACGGGTAAGGTGTATGCGCCAGGGGCATTTCTTCATTCTGATTGGTCAGCCTCTCGCCTGTCTCCAAGACCACAGTGACGTGAGGAAAATCACCCCAGCCCGGCACGGCAACGACGGCACCGTCCGCGGTGCGCTTCCCTTCCAAACGACAGGGCAAGGGAAGCACCGAGAGCAGGGAGGAAGCATCATGAATGCTGAGAACCTCTTTCTGAGGGGCCCGGATTTTCGGAATTATAGGTAGGGTCAGTAACACACACCACAACACACTCGACAGGGGCTCAAAAAGCCCTGGAGGTGCTCAAAGGGCACTCAATACAGTGCAGTTTCGGCCCGGAGTCCTGGAAAGATAAAAGACACAAGTCAGGACAAAAGAATCATTCAAAGGCCCGGTTCCGACTTCGGGTCTGTCCCATTGTCGGTTTTTGTTTTTCTTTTTTCTCCTTTCTTTTTTCTTGCTCCTTCTTTCTTCTTCCCGATCTTGTAGGGGGGAGGGAAAATATTACAAGGAGGAGCAAGACATTTCATTTCTTCCGGCTGTCATTTCCACTTGTTTCGTCCTTCCCACAAGACCGGCGTGGAAACGGCAAGCACTGCAGGCACGGGCGGGCAGGCGGAGACATGTGCCTGCCACTTTCAGTTGGACAGTTTGGGCGCTGGAAAGGCAGGCGACGCAGGGCGCTGCGGTCCCGGCAGCAACAGCACTTGCCCCCGGACCATTCTGATTGACAGGCTGACAGGCTTCAGGAATGAAGACAAGGGCATTGACACAGCCTTTTATTGCCAGGCATTTCCACGTTAGTTGTTGGCTAAACACAATTCTGACAAGACACCCAGCGACAAGAAAACTTGCAGCAGAACTGACAGACCACATAATAGTAGTCATTCGCACAATTGCTACACCTCAGACACGGCCAGGAGCCCAGGACCCTCTGGAGCACACGGGGTGGCGACTGGAAGCGCTCCCCAAAAGGTGAAGTATTGGAAAAATAAAACGAAAGAGATGATGGCAGACTCCGAGGGGGAGGTTCGAAGGCTATGGGGGGATTAAAAATGGTCTGAAGGGGTCATTTCTGTTGGCGTTAGTCGTCGCAGGTGGTCGGACCATTATGACGCACTTTGCAGGAGTTCGCAGTCGATCTAGCGCACAAAGAGGATGAGCTCCGGCACCAGAGCTCTTCTGAAAAGCCGTTGGAACTTGGACGGGTCTTTCGCGGGTTCAGGAGAGGGAGGGCGCCGACGACTCGGATATCTTCCTACTGTTTCCACTGTGGACGCTGCACCTTGTGCATATTGGAAGGCTCCATCCAAACCTCCTTCCCCGCGGCGGCGGAACAAACTCACGACCTTCCGCGCCGTCTAGCGTGCCAACTCGTGTGCCCACACTGGGGGTTATAGACAAGGGGGGTTATAGTGTCGACAGGGGTACTAGTGTCGCCAAGTCGAACATTGGCTTCTTTTTGTGGAAGCGCCTGCCACTTTTGGGGCTAACCTTTTTACGACATGGCTCGATCCGCAGCGCATCTTTGCTTCCTCCTTCCCTTCCCTTGGACAAATCAACGAATGGAAGTCCTCGGTCCCTCGATAGGTATGTACTCGATAGAAAGCAAGATCACCATCATCACTATCCACCACGGCACCACACGTGCGGAACAATACCAGGAGTGCGGCAATCGTCGTATCTTGGCCTGAATGCCTGCATGCATCAGTAGGACATGGAGGACGATGGAGAACTGGAGAGGACAAGACTAGATGGGACCCCCACCCCAATTTGTGCAAATTTGCGAGATATTCACATCACAAAATCCCGGGCGGGCAAGTGCCACATGAGTTCCAAGGTGTACAACAGCACAGAACAGCAGGAGCAGCACACCGCAGCACAGACACTCTCTCGAAAACGGAAAGAATGTTACGTGACGTTACATCCGATTGGCACCTATCAATGAAGTGACCAGGGCATCTGATAATGCATCACCGTTCATGCAACCCAACGCCAACCCCGAAACGACGACGAGGAGGAGGAGGCAAGCAGGGAGGGTAAGCGCTTCTCAAACACTGACACACAATGGAAACCACCCAACGCACCTGGAAAATCTCTCCACATCCTGATGGCTCCATAAGGGTACGGCTCCCGAACAGAAATCCTCTTCTTCCTCATCATCATCATCATCATCATCACCACGATCCTCCGAACTCGACTCGGCAGCACCTTGATCCCAATCCCAGACAGACAGAAAAGATTCAACAACAACATGTCCGGCTCGTCTTCGTCCACCATCTCTCTCATCTCCCCCCGCCAAGGCCTAGACTTGACCTCATGATCCGCTGACGCCATGCCATGATGATGGATGCAAGGAGACGGTGCTCCACGCATGGTCTGTTCGGCTAATCCCATAACCGTTTACTCCGGCACACCGTCACGGCCCTAGAAAAGACTAAGAATCCTCCAACCTGTCCAGACACGGATAGTCTTTTGTCCCTGGTCTCCCACGCCTTCGACATGACGCCGACTCGCGCTTGTTTAGTCCAAGGTGATCAAGCCAAGCCTTGTCATGCCTCCATCGGCCGAGGTTGGACCGTTCACAATCGTCTTCAAAATCATACCGTCGTTCCAGCATTATCATCCGAGGCATCCATATATCGATCCTGCTGGTTTTTCATCAGCAAGGCTATGCTCGAGCCAGGCCCCAGGGACGGAAACTTACTTTGCCGGTTTGCTTTCTTCTTATCATCACGTCGGCAATGTCAATAACGTAGCGTTTCTCTGCAGTCGTTGATTACTATAGCAGGGTAAGTTTGTTAGAATGAGACCTCACCACCCATTTGCATCATATACACTGTTTAGTATGAGACCTTGCCATCACTTTTCATGCATATTGGACGTCAGTATCACTTGTTCACGTTGCATAAGAGGGTCATTTTGAGTGGAAGAAAGCTACAAGTGTCTTGTTCTGATGATTTGTCTGGCACTCCTAGCTTACTCCCTTTTCTCAGATTGCCAGAACACTCCCCCCCCCAAAACCAATTTCCGTCCAAAACTCCTCCGTCGGCACCCAGTTGGCCTTGGACCCCAACAGTGCACCGCACATACCTATCTCAATTGCCCTACTCTTGGACCCTTGTTGTAGTGTATCATTCGCTTGTCGGCGCTGAACCCGTCGGCAAGTGGCGTTCGGTCCTGTCCTTCCGATTGATTTTTTTGTTCCAGCGCCCACTTCCCGTTCGTGAGGTTCGTTGGCTGGAATCCGAGATTGTCATATATTTTTTTCTTCTTTGTTTCTTTTCCTTTTCGTTTTCTTTCTTTTTCTTCTTTTCAGAAGCACTCCTCTTCCTCGAGCTCGACAATGTAGGTCAATGGGCGAGTGCTGGCCCGCCAATTGAGAAACCACCGGAGCTCGCGTGCGTCCAGGGGCCTGTATTCCGGCCCGTCCAGGCGGAAGTACCAGCGGTCATCGCTGCCCCGAACGTATTCGGCGTAGTATGAAATTTCATCGCCTGGGCACCGAATGTGCTCCATTACAAACCATCTGGGCGGCATTTCTTCCGCCTTATACCACTTCTCATCTGGTTGGTCCGAATTGATAATGTCCTCGGCAACGTTCGCGGTGATTTTCTCGTCCACGGGCTCAGTGATGTTGTTTATGGTCTCCGAGGTGCTTTTGTCGTGTTGACCCTCCAGTTTAGGCTCGGCCTCTGAGCTCACAGTCTCGGGTTCATCCCAGGGGACCCACGGCAGCGGGAGCTCCTCCTCCACGTTGACCTCAGGCAAGATCTCCGGCTCATCGTCCCATGGGACCCATGGGAGTGGTAGTTCTTCTTCTTGACTCTGAACCACATGCCCTATGGACTCCTAGCCCATAGTGGCAATTGGCTCTTGCTCGTTCTGAAACTTGGCGGCGGCGTGTAGTGCGACATGGTGGAGCTTCTGCGGGAGAGAAGCAATGTCACCGACGATGAAATCAATGAGTTCCTCGTACTCCCGCCAGCTAAGTTCATCAAGTGTGCCGTCGTCGTTCAGAAAGAACCAGTTGCCGCAGCTCATCTTGGCGTAGGTGGCTCCGCCGGGACGCTTCAGAATGGCAAGGATCTCCGAGTCGTCGGAATGGTGGGTGAAGTCGTAAGGGGTGCTCATGTCCTCCGACTTGGTTGAAGGCGTTGACCTGTCGCTAGCCGGGCTTTGGTAGCGTGTGGGCGATGGTGACGGCGTTTCATCCTTGAGGAATCTTCTGTCGTATTGGATATCATCGCCGGGTTGGGCGATGGGATGAAAACTGATAGCCGTGGCCTTTTTGGCGGAAAGGGCGACGGTGAAACCAGCCATGGCCTGGTACTCTTGGACATTGTCCGGGCTCGAGTAAACTGTCGTAGGAGATTCGGGCGCTGTGGTGGTTGTCTTGCTGCCGTTGGTGTCCTCCGAAGTGTTGGTCCTATGAACAATTAGTAAAGGCTTTTCAGATGAAAGTGAGGTGTTGAACATGACTTACTCATTTGAGACCTTGCGAGTGTGTTGGAAAGATTCTCCAATAGGGGAAGCGAAGATGTTTTTGCGGACTTGAATGCCGTTCGGAGTCTGCAGAAACCTGCCCTCTGGGCTCCGGAGGGGAGGGCCAATCGGACTGTGAGCATGCGGAGAGTTTTCCGGAGTCTCAATCAAAAAGCCGGATGCCGTGAATCGTGGTGATTTCTTGGCGGCGCGGACGGGAGAGTCGGGCGGGCTGGGTCGAGTATCAACCTCAATCTGCTTGGCCAAGGAGATGGTATCCTCCTCGCTGTCGGAGAACATCTCAAGGTCTTCCTCGTCCCATTGCTTGAATGTGGCCTCGATATCTTGGCCCAGAGCGATGATGTGCTCCACTGGTTCAGAGAAGCGCTCGACCTTGTCGAGCTCGTCGCAAAGTCGGTTAACCTTCTTGGCGAAGGCGATGATCTCCTCTTCCGAATCCGAGAAGTCCTCGAAGTCAGCGAGGCTGTTGTGATTGTCGTCCGCTTCGTCGGAGGAAGAGCGAGGGAACTCGATGTCTTCCTCGTCTTCCTCGATCTCTTCCTCGTCCTCCTCGTAGATCGTGCTGAGTCTGAACTTGAGCGAGGTAGGGACTAACTTGAAGTTAGCTTTGGCCCTTTTCTTATTTTTGGGTTCATCTTGACTTACTGGTCTTGGATGCGGGACGGGCCGCTTTGGCGATCTTTGTCGTCTGAACAATCGCAGTAGCCTCGGGCGCTGAAGTGATAGCCGGGTTCGGATGAGGCATGTGGGCGAGCCACATCTGGTCTTCCTCGAGATATTCGTGGAAGCTCTTGAAATTGAAGATGTCGGAGGCGAGACCACCGAAGTAGTCGTTGCCGTGGTTTGTCGACTTGATGTCCTCGACGGAGGTCGTGGCAGGAGTGATGATTTCGGCGATGTAGGAAGTGGGACGAGCGTGGTGGTAGACCCGGACCGTCTCGTCGACAGGAACAATGAGAGTGGAAAGCTCATCGTCGGTGGAAGTCTCCAGGTTGGGAGTTGTGATGGTGGTATCGTCGAGGCTGGTGGGAGTGTTGTTGACTTCGGTATTAGGTGTGTCCATGACCTGCAAGTTGGTGATGTGAGCCGTGGGAATGGTGACATCAGTAGTAGCGGCCTGCTGAGTGAGGATGGTCTCGGTGTCGATGACCTCGGGCGGGGTGATCTTTAGGATGACGATGATGAAAATGGTGCTCATAATAGCCAGCAAAGTGTTGCCAGTCACAGAGGAGATGAGAATCATGGCCATGACCACGTTGAAGGTCATGTCGACGTCGGCAGAATCGGTAATACTGGTCATGTTGTCGTTCGAAGGGCTAGTTTGGTGAATGTAGTTGTTGTTATTGTTGATGTTCTGAGTGTTGACAATGTCGGTCATCTTGTGATCGATAATGTGCGCGAGCGCAGAAGTTGCGGTAGAAGAAGACATGATGTCGAATGAAGATAGAGAGACGGAGTGGAGTGAGAAGGAGAATGTGTGGAGAGAAAGATGAGAAGAGGTAATCAAGGTAATAGTCGCGCGTGATGCTTGACTGGTGATGATATGGAGAGAAGATGATGCGGCAGAGCGGCAAGATCTTGAAAGTAGATGGAAGAGTTGAGGTCGATAGATAGATGCCGCGAGGCGAGTTGTATGTTTGCGCAAGGACGTTTGGTTGACTTGGTCAAAGATAGGTATGCTTGTGCTTGCGCAAATGTGAGTCTCCGAAGTGAGATGGGGAGAGAAGGATTCAGTTCCAGTATTGGCATCAGAAGATGTGCTCTTATACTTTCCCCGGCTGGGCCCGTGCTACTGCGTTGCTGGGTGAATTCAGATCTGTTCAGATGAACTGTTCACGAATTAGTAGTGCAATAACTACATGTTTGCCTTTGAATGTCGCCGTTGAGGTGGGCGGAAGGTGGTGGCAGCAAGGTTGGTGATGCTGCTGACAGGCGACCGTTGGTGTTTTGGTTGTCATGAGCAACCCGGCGACAGGGTATTACATGTGATTGGTCGAGACGGGCAGAGAGTGCCCGGACAAGGAAGGTGGCCTGTGAACAGGCGTGAACAGCTGCTTCTGGGGGACTGACCAGTGCTGAACAGGGTGGAACATGGCTGAACAGATGTGTGGGCATAGCAACGGGGGAAGGGAATGGAAGAGTGGTTGCTACATCGATTGTTCGGCCAGTATTCGATGTGGAACGTCAGGCGACAGGCAGAATTACAATTGTTGCCAGCCAAGCTGACGGCACTCGAGTTTACTGAACAGCTTCCAGAGCCATGGAAGTCTATCAAGCTCATGGAATTTGGCGTTTCCCTGGTGACGGGCTATATTCAACTATTCGGGTATCAGTTCAGCGACAGCCAGATCTTGAATTGTAGCCAATGAAGCCAAGTGGTCTTCAGACTCACCAAATGGACCTCACAGTCGCTGAAGCTGGAGGCCCGTGGAAGATTGGAGCTGTACCCACTCAGGGCTGTTCATACCAGAGCATCCGGAATGACATGGCTGGCGACAGTCTGATCTGACAGCTGTTGCTGACAAGACTGACGCTGCCTGAATACACTGAATAATACTTACGGACGTATAATCTGGTAGTTCGGAGAAGACTGGCGTTAAACTTACTGAGGCATGTTCATGCTGGGCCATCTCAGATTGCCTGACTGGCGACAATCAGCTGTGCAGCTGGCAACGACCGAGTTGACGGGGCTAAAGTTCATCGAATAATCTCATGATTTCACAGCCGCAGTAGCTGGAGGCCAAGAAAAGACTTGATTTTCTGGATGACTTGTGCCCGGAGATTAAATAATTCACATTGAGACGATGGATTTTGCGTGCCGCTCAGGATGGCAGATTGATAGACTGACCAGGAACGCATGTGCCAAGACATCGCGATGCACTGACGGCGGAGGCCGAACAAGTGTATGATCATTGTGGGACACTCGGCGATAACATCATTGCATGAAGGTTTCAAGCTGATATAACCAGTAACTGTGGTAGTTTCGAATCTACAGTTGTTGATACAGGTGATATATAATCCTTTAATCCTCAACGAGGGTGGTAGATAGGGCCACACTGTCGCGGTATGGTGAGAGTGTGCGACAGTGCACAAGGGCCTTGTCAAGTGCGTTCTGAGAGCGCTTCGCGATCTCGTCGTGTTCTCGTTCTCGATGTTTTCTTTTGACATCACATCACAAATGATTGTATTTTTCTTGAGCCTTTGACTGTTTCCACGCGCAATCATGTTGTAAATCAATTGTCCGTCCTCCTTCGCATATCCTCTCTCAAAATCAATGTTGTTGAAGGATGTTTCGGTCAAGAAGTCCCGTCAGGTCGTTAACAGTACAGCAGCTGGTCCTACGGCAGGTGGTTTCTGGGGACGATGGCTAGGTAGGGGTTAGCAGAACGGGCCTTTCAAGCGGTTACAGTGGACCTGCACTAACAGCCTCTCAGAGAGGAGTGTGCCCCTCGTTCATGGGACTGCCTGCGCGCAAGTAGGTGCACTATCGAACACTATCACTATAGCGTGTAATCAAGCGCTATAGCGTTACGGGAAAAAAAGACAACTCGATGGGTGCTTACGATCGCCTTTAGTAGTGATTGCATGCTGGAAACCTAGTGGAATCATTGCAATCAAACATCCGGACACCTTTAATCATTACAAGGCACTGTCACATTTCACAATATCGGTCAAGTTTTACCGCTGACAGTTTATTGCGCTGTTCTCACCCATATCCCGTTGACTCCCCAATCCTTGCCCTCCGTCCCATCCTCAAAGTCCCGATCCCATCCCGTGCTTGACCCATCCGTACCCGTACCATACCTCTACCCCACAAAGTCAAATCCCAACATCAGCCGTCCTTCCCATCCGTCCCCTACCAATTACCAACACTCGTAAACCTCCTCCACCTCTTCTACTTCCTCAATACTCTCCATCTCCAAACCCCAAGCGTACCACTTATTCATATTCCTCCGCTTACCCAGCACCGCCCTCACCCACGTCTTCGGCTCCCTCTTGGCCTCCATCTCATCAAAAGCAAATTCATCCCCGTCTCTCCACCGATTGAACTGATCGAGCTCGTGCACATCAAGCAAGCGAAACATGCCCTCGTACATCCAGTACACTTGCTCGTCGTTGCCAATCACGATTTGTCTCTCTCCGTCGGGGTGGTTAAAAAGGCCGATCACGCCCCAATCTTCGTCGAGGTCTTCTGGGTCTTTCCAGACGGCGAGGTTGGATTCCCAGGCTGCAAGGGGGTCGGAGGAGTGGTAATCGTCTTCGTCCTCGAAGTCGTCAGCGAGGTCGGTGGATGAGACGAGTTCGATGCCGGTGGTAGCCTGATAGTCGGCAGATTCGGTGCGATCGATAAGTTCGATGGGCCGGTAGTAATCCATATCGTCAAAACCGTCTTGACCCTTGGAGTCCTACTCCTCGGGGGTAGTGGCTTGCTTGTCCAACTCCTCATCCTCCACACTCTCAATAATGGCAATCGCGTTGCTAGTCATGATTCCCTCCTCGGCGTCCGCTTGTTGCTTCTTGTCGAAATCGTCGCGGGTAACGACGGGAGTTTGGCTGGTCCAGTTGATGAACTCCTGGTACTCGGTCTTGGACATTGGGCGGATCTCGTCATCGTCGTTGAGGGCGTACCAATAGCCGCAAGTCATTTGGACATAGCGGCAGTTGAGGTCGAGGCGTTCCATGATAAGAGTGACTTCGAGTTCGGGGTGTGAGATGTTGGAGTAGTTGTACATGTTGTCGAAAGAGGAGGTGTCGAGAGTGGCGGGGGGCGACTGGCTCTCTTCGGCTTGCTTGAGCTCGTTGATGTTTGCCAGTGCGGGATGGTCAAACTTGTGGTCAACTTTGGTTGTGTCGGGGTGGGAGTACACCGTTTTGGGCGTATCAGGAGTGGTAGCTCTGCTCGTAGCACTATCGGTAGTGTTGTCCGTCTCGGTTGAGGAAGTGGTACTGCGCATAAGGTAAGCGGTTTTGCTGTGAGTATGGGGTAGGATTTGGTTGAATGACTTACTCATTGGACAGTCTGCGAGCATGGTGAAGGAAGACGACTTCTGTGTCGACTACCTTCTTGGAGCTGATGTTCTCAGTCTTCTTGTCGGTCAAAAGCTTGATGTCGGAAGCGGTGGCCTTGATGACTGGAGTGCTTTGCTTGGTGATCTCGATGGCTTGCTTCTTGGTCTTGGAGATCGAGTGGCACAGTTCGGGTTGGTTGGCGACGGCATGCACCCATGTCATCTTATCTTCCCTCAAAAAGCGCTCGAAGTCATAGCCAATGCTTGAGGCGGAGACGCCCATGTCGTCAATGTCAGCAACATCGGTGATTTTGGGAGCCATGGAGCTGTTGACCTCGACAATGTCGATGATGGGGAGGACATGATGATAGGTATGGCCTTTGGAGTTGTCAACCTCGATGATGTCCATGATGGGGAGGAGATGTTGATAAATGTGCTTCTCATTCGCATCACTGGTGAGAAGCTCCTCATCAGCGATGCATGAAGTGGCGTCACAGTTGTCGTTAGTGATGGTGTCGCCATTGTGGATGAGACCGTCTTGGTGAGAGACTTCGACTACTTGAGCAGACTTGTTGTCCTCGATGATGAAAGGCGCGGTAACTTGAGTGTCGGTCGACTGGGTGGTATCCTTGCGATTGTCGACAATATTGGACTCGTGAGTCGTCTTGTTGATGTCGATGGAGGTGATATCCTTGATGGTGGTATCGATGATAGCGTTCATGCGCCGAGCTTTCGTGATGTTGTCGATCAGGCCGCCTTGCTGACATGAGTCGATGAGGGAGAGTGTTTGGAATTCTTGAGGAGTGTTGAGGATGTTGGGGATCTGAAAGGCCTCAGTGGAAATGGACACTAAATTGGCATGGTTAGACTTGTCTAGATACCCGAAGCTGCGACTATTGTGGACGACTCACCATGAGCCACACTTGATGCGGCAAAAGATGCGATGACCATTGCCTTGATGTCAGCAATGGTCGGGAACACAAGGCGTTGGGTCTGCGCCGTGAAGGCGGAGGACCAGAAGGAGAAAGCCATTGCGACGAAGTGAAGATTGAAGTGGCGTATCACGAAGATGATGAAGGATGTTGAGGCTTCTTTGCTATGGTGTGCAATGATGCGTGGGATATCCTTATGTTCCGTTTTTTGGATGAGGGAGGAAGGGTTTTAGTCTAGGATCTGGCGAATCGTGGAAGATTTTTATAACCCCTCTGGTGGGAACGTGCTTTCAACTGTCGCTGGCGACTGTCAACAGGTTTGGATGGTTTGTTGACATCGTGATGGTGTTGAGGTTGACATGGCGAACGGATATATGACATCTGATTGGTCGGTTTGGGGATCAGGGGGTACGAATAGGGCAGGTGAGGACTGAACAGCACTGAACAACAGAGCAGTGCTACGGATAATACTTCAGCCGTGTTCAGGTCCGAAATTCATGAACTTCTATGTGATATAATTGAGAGCTGTTCGCTTTTCGGTTGTTGTGAGCGTGGCCCGGCAACCATACAGAATAGGTGAGTACTGAACAGCGCTAAACAGGAACGCAGTGCTGGGATGACACTTCACTCCAATGGTGACTGTCGCATCCTCAATCTATGAGCTTCTCTGTGCCAATATGGAAGCATCTTACCCTCACGTTGGTATGAGAGTTCGCTGTCATCCAGCTACCGGCTTTCTCACGATCCTACATGCCAAGATATACGCTGACGGGGATGGAGAGAGAAGGGCGACGGCTGTATTCACATCGTCGATGACACTCGGCCACAATACCAGCACACTTTGTTCAATCGTAAAATAGGTAATGGAAGTAGGTAAAAGAAGTACAGAGATAAGGCCTACGAAGTTTCAAGGTCAAGTTATGTATTCAGAGGCAGTAAGATTTCACGGTCATGGCATAGGAGGAACTTGCTGTAAAAATGAACGATCATAATAGACACTACTGATAGTTTAGCACATTTTGTACACAAGGGAGAAATGATGAAAAGAGCGGTGCATATCTAGTCAATAAGCGGAAGAAGAGTCACCTGTGAAGTTTTCATTCATGTCAATCGTGACTTTCAGCGAAGCACTGAAATTTGGTGGCGAGCTTGCAAGTATCATGTCACGTCACGAGTCCCTTGCATATGGAACAATGTGAGGTATTTCATAAACTTTCATTTATCTCCTTAGCTCAATCATCTGATCTAATCACCATCCCCCAATCCTTCCTTCATTGACCAGTCCGCTTCAAATCCTTACATCCTAACCCACATCTTTATCCTCGAGTTCACTTAGTTAGGTAATCATAGGAATACTTTAAAGTCTTCCTCATCCTCATCAACCTCCTCAACAATCTCCAGTCCCCACACTCTCTCCTGATCTTGCTGATCCTTCACCTCCTCCACTTCGCTCATCTCCTCGCAAGCCTGCTCTTCGTCCTCCTCCTTGATGACATCAAGACCCCAGACCGTCGCCGAACCATTCCGATCCTCAACTTCCTTGACTTCGCAAACCTCCTCTTCAATCTCTTCATCCTCCTCCAAAATGGTATCAAGCCCACAAACACTCTTGCAGCCCTTCTCCTCCTCCTCCAACTCCCCGCTCAAATACAACACCGCAGCCGGATCACTGCTACGCCAGGAATTGAAGTCCTCAAGCTCCTCATCAAGCATCAGCATGAACGCCCCCTCGTACTCCCAGTACCAGCGCTCATCACTGCCAAGAACGTAGTTCTTGTTTCCATCAGGATGCTCATACCACGCCAAAATCTCCCAGTTCTCACCCATGTCTTTTTCCTCCTTCCACTCCATGTACTCAGCAAGTGGGTGGCGGGGTTCCTCCTCGGTGTCGGACTCGTCGTCAGAGTAGTAGGTGACCATCTCTAAACCGCGGGAAGTCGCGACTGCCTTGACCTTTGGCTCTCTTTCATTGTCATCGTCGCTGCTCTCAAGCCGAGTTGCATCCATCACCTCAGGCTCCTAATCCGTGATGGTGGTAGCGGGCTTGGTATCAGGATCGTTCATCCAAGCCAAGAAATCCTCACGTTCATCCGGGAGCATGCGGCTGATTTTGCGGCGGTCATGGTAGATGTACCATTTGCTGTTGGTGAGGAGGACGTATTGGAGGCCGTACTCCGGACGGTCGATGGTGTGGACGATGTCGAGGTCGTCGAGGGAGTCTTGCTCTTTGATTGACTCATTGTCGTCGTCGTCGCTGGCGTTGTCGTCGTTGCTGGTGTGGATGACGCTGGCGGGATCAGATGGAGTGGGTGAGGGGGAGCGCGAGCCGGACGAGGAAGGCGCAGTCGGGAAAATGCCCCTGATGAGCCGGAATGTGGGGAAGCATCGGTAGGCAGTGGGGCTTTGATCCTGAACTGGAGAGCTGCTGTCGCGGGAAGATCCGCTTTCGTCGCATTGTTCGGGGGTCTTGATTTGACTGCGCTTGTTCTTGGTGTTGGCGATGGATGATTGGGAGTACTCCGTGTCTTCGGTGTTGGCAGTGTCATTGCTCGAGTTGCTGTTGACAGAGAACTTGGAGTTGTTCGAAGTAGTTGTGCTGCAGAAGGTTAGTACCAGCTTATGCAGAAGCAATGCAGATGCAGAGGGATGCGGATGACTTACTCGGTGGAGACCTTGCGAATGCGACAAGACTTGTCGGTCGGAGCGACGCCGGCGTCAATGGGAGAAGCCTGACCATCGCGGACAGGGAAAGGGAAGTAGCCGGCTCGAGCAATTTTGGGGGAGGCGGAAGTGGGCTTGTCATCAAGCTCGTCGATGTCGTCAATGCTCATGTCATCGTCGACGTCAGAGGCGTTGATGTTTTCCTCGGCATCAGCCTTGGAGACAGGTCCAGTCTGCTCAGAGAAGTTAGCGAGACGCGAAATATCAATATGCGCAATGTTTCTATCGGTACTAACCTTTGGAGTAGGATCCTGTGCGGCAGTCATGGCAATAGGAGCCTCGAAAGACCCGTTGATGATCGCTTTGATGATGGCAGCGTTGGGGAGGGGCAGGCGGTAAGCATGGACGGCAACACCCGAGGACCACAAAGAAGACATGATGATGTTCTTGTTGGTCAAAGGTGGCGAGAGTGAGAAGTCTTTGCGACGATGTGTCGTTGCAGTGTGCGAAGTGCTTTCGGCTTGGGTTGCGAGTCGATATGTTGACGGTGCAGTTGGGTGTCCAGTTTTAGGATGCAGGTGGAAGAAGTTTGGGGACAGAATTTGAAATGAGCTCGCGATATTATAGCTTTGAACAGGTTGGCTGTCGCTGACACCCTGAAGCTATCCCCACTTACGACTATGGGTGAACTGTTCAGTTGTTCACGTTATTTGGGTGGTGAGATTCCGTTGCGAGGGCAACCGGCGAGGTTATGGATGCCTGTAGATCCCGGGAGATATGAAGAGAACAGGCGGTTTCATGTTCAGATCTTGAACAGTGGTGCTGTTTATGGATAACCGGGCTGACCCCAACAGACTTGTGAACAGTGCAACAGTGGTAGGAAGCTATTCACACTGAACGATGGCACCAGGTCCACTCCACATTCGTGTGCTGTACGACGAACAAGACCACGGGTGTTCGCGATATATTGGCAGGGCAACTTCACGTCGTGTAGTGAAGACCGAATGGAATAGTTCAGATTTTTATGGGAAGGAATAAGAGGTATCACAATTTACCTGGTCGCCGACCCAGGACATAGCGTTTGAAGTATGGCAGTCTTTGGCATAATAAATGTGTACATCTTTACACCGAATCGGTACAGCTGGCCCGCGGTAATGTAAAACGTTGATGTCATGAAAACTGGTGGAATCTTTCAGTCAATGAATCACAGAGTAAGATGAGGGTCATTCTGGCCCCAAGCTTTCACGATTATAGATTGAAGCACGAGTGTTTTACTACGAAGAAGTACATAGCTACCTAGGAAGACGAACATCATTTGCGAGTAACATCAGTATTATCCTCGGGCGCCGCTCAATCTAAAATAGGTAGCAGAGCAAATCACAATGAAACTACGGAAACAAAAGCAATTCACAATCACTAGTCGGTCACGGAGCAGTTCATATATCACTTTGTAGCTTTCCATTCTCTAATCGGTCCCTATCTCATACCGCATCGCCATGATCATCCAGCCTAACTCATCCAGCTTCTTGTTCCTCAACCCTCTCACCAGTAGATTTGTGACCCAATTCACTCCATGATCCTTCCGCAGATCGTGACACTCCAAGTAATCAAGATTCCTCCTCCGCCTCCTCAGTGATTTTACTCAGTCCCCAGAGGTTCATGACCGGACCGTCCTCAGTAGCATTAACCGGAATCGAGCTACCATCCTCCAACCGGCCGTTGAGTAAATCCAATTCGTCCTCCATCAACCGGCGAAACTTTCCCTTGTACTCAAAGTACCATTCTTGATCATTTCCCAAAGCGTACTTCCTGTCGGCAAACTGCGGGTGGCAGAATGACCGGACGACTTCCCAACCTCTGCCTAGCTCGTATTTTCGCTTCCAGCGAAGAAGTTCTGCCCAATCCTCCTCTTCTTCTTCGCCTACTTCTTCGACACGATCCTCGTTTTCTTCAAAGCCCTCAAGGATCTCCACGCCGTTGGACTCCTAGTCCTTGGGCCTGGGAGTCCAGAAGGGGCTCAGCTGCGATGGATCGATGGGTCGGTGATTGTCTTTGTACTTGTTGAAGTTGGCGTTGAAGTTGGAGCGTGTAAAATTGACCGCGTCGATCCAATCCAAGAAGTTCTCGTACTCGTCTTCCACCATCTGCCGGACATTGTCGTCATCTTCAACCCAGTACCAGTAGCCGCATGTGAGCATGCCATACTGGTTTCCGCTGATCGGGTCAGTAAGGATTGTGACGAAGTCGAGATTCTTCAGATCCTCCTGGGTCAGATTTTGGTATGCGTAGTCGTAGACATAGTTGAAGGTGGGGAGGGAGGCCCTGATTGGAATGTGGGAGTTGGGCTCATCAGCTGCGAGAGAAGAACGGATGTGGTTCGCGTCCTCGTCGGAGATGTCGGTGGGAGGTGATAGATTGATTTCCGGGATTGCTGGAGAAGCTGACTTCTGGTTCGATTCGGCGGCGATGTTGTCGGGCGACGTGCAGGCCGTTTCCGATGTATCGGACCGAGTGTCAGCAATCGAGGTGCTGGATGTCTGTGAGGCTGCGCTGGACGAATCATTATTGCTTGAACGCGAAAGTTAGTGAGTACTCAAATGAGTCAGCGCAATTGACAAGGACTTACTCGGTAGAGACCTCTCTGGCATGCTGATTCGTGCTGTCGTCCGACTGCGCAATGGTCGAAACGTGCTTGCCATCTGCACCTTCTCCCACATGGGTGGGGCGGGCTGCATCTGCATCTTGACGGTATCTCTCGACTTTCTGAACGACTGCCTTCTTCCTAAACACGCGCTCTGCCGGGCGCGGAATCCACATCATTCGATCCTCGTCAAGAAAACGCTCGAAATCGTTGTAGTGGCTGCTGGAAGCGGAAGCAGCCGAGTCGTCAAGGTCATCAACGGCGGAAAGGTTGACCTCGAAAATATCCATGGTGGGAAGGACATGAGTGTAGATGTGACCTTCGGTCTCGGGGTTGTTGGAATCCAGGTTCTTGGCGATCATCGGGGCGCTGTCGACAATGTAGATGTTTGATGCTTCTTCGCGGGTGTCATCGCCAGGGAGGGGACTGTCGATGTTCTCGGTGATGGGCTCGATGATAGTGGCGCCAGTGTCTGGAACGATGATAGTCGGATCGATGGAGGGCTGGGTAGGGGCTTCTTCGGTTGCCTCGAAGGCACAGGTCGCTCCGGTATCCTTGATGTTTGGGACCATGATATCATCGGGTCGAGCAATGTCGATCCTCTTCTTCACCTTGAGTACCTTGATAATGTTAGTATTTTAACTTGCTTGGTGTCTCAAGAGAGTATGCTTACCTTCTTGGTGATAGGGGGGCGATTAGAGTTGTCGATCATCAGCGAAAGCACGGTGGAGGTAGCATTAGCGACGAGGATCATGTCTGCGAGGGTTGGAAAGCAAAGTCGAAGGGCATGCTGGCTCAAGTCCCAAAGAAAGGAAGCGGTCATGATGGCGATTAGGTTTGTTGTGGGAATATGAGAGTGAAATGTTGTTAGAGTTGAGTGGTATTGCTCGAGGGTGCGTGTCAATGATGTTGACAGTGCAGTTCGGAATCCTGAATTTGGATGAGGAAGAAGAATTTCGGGACAGGATTGAGAATTGCTGCGCCCATTATATACCCCTCCAAAAGGTCGACTGTCGCTACGACCATGAAGCCATTGGCGACTCTCAACCTTGGTGCAGCGTGCTTGTCTGTTCACATCTTGATGGGGTTGATGCCCGTTACTCGGGTAACCGTTGATGAACGGCAGAGCTGGGCTCCGAGCAGTGATGCTGTTCATGAATGTACACGATTATCTGGGCAGTCTTCTGAACAGTGGAACAGGTGCTCGAGCTCTTCGACATCATGGTGGCACTAGGTTGCTGTTCAGGGAGAGCCATAATTATTGTGCTCTACGGAGTCATGATGGCGTGGACAGCACAGGCAGGCTCTGAACAGTGGTGTTGTTTTCGGGCGGTGTTCGACCGATATGAACAGTCTTATGGGTTTAGGTGTATGGCTGAACACCCACATAGTTCTAGTACAAAGCTGGTCGTGCGTAGGTCTGAGGCGTTGCTAGAGGTCAGGTAGCGCCACGGCGTGGAGTAAGCGGTAGGATTGAAGTGTAGTTTGGTAGTTATACATCTGAATTAAAATAGAAAAGATACCTCTAGGCATATGTTTTGTGAATCATGCATAAGCACCAAGACCAGCATCACTAATAAAAGCTGAAGAGGGCGGAAAGTTCAATCAAACAGAGCAAAATTATCCATGTCAGTCACGGGAAATATTGCGATAGTCACCTTAAAGTCAAATAGTGGTGGTATCAGCAGTCAGATTGCTATGTAGACCGTTGTAACGAAGAAAAGTCCGCAATCATGACCATTCCTGACTTGAACCCCTTGCCATCTCTCTCCTTCAAACCCGTCCGTTCTTTCAGTGACCCCTAGCTTGTCTTCTGTCAACCCCTTTCTCACCACACTGAATACTCCTCCTCGTACTGTTCCTCCTCCTCCTCGATCGTGTACAAACCCCAGTTGTTCCACTTCTTTGGGACGTACTCCTCCGCCGCCTTCTCGGCCTCTTCCTCATCCTCCTCAATGATCGCATTCAAGTCAGGCATCTTCCACTTCTGCTCCGACTTCTTTCCATGGGGGCTTTCCAACTGCTTCATGGAGCCATAGAGGGCAGACTTGTCGCCATCCCTCCACCTGTTGAAGCGGTCCAGTTCGTCTTCGTCAAGAAGACAGAACATACCGTCGATCAGCCAGTAGACCTGATTATCGCTGCCCATGGCAAATTGCTTGTCGCCGTCAGGGTGATCGAAGATTCCAACGATGTTCCAGTTGGTGCCGATATACTCGGCCTCTCCCAACTGCTCAAGCTCGTCTGAAACCTCTTGCGCATTGTTGGTGTCGTTGGCGTCCTGAATGGTATCGGCATAGGCGAAGAGCTCGATTCCCTTGGAGCTCTGGTCGGGGATTTCGTCCTCTGACTCCAGTCTCTCATCCTCTTCCGCCTGTTTCTCGTGCAGCCAGAAGACAAACTCTTCGTAACCGTCTTCAGTCATCGGATTGGCAGTTGGAGCGTCCTCGTTGAGGTAATGCCACTCGCCATTGGTGAGAAGGACATACTTAGTTCCACACTCAGGGCGCTCTTGGAGATCCAGCACTTCCGACTCCTAATCGGTGATAGTGATGGCCTCGCTGGCGGAATCCTGAGTTCCGACATTTTCGTGCTGTGTGGTGGTGAAGCTCATGTCATCTTCTTCGGCAAGGAACTCGTTTCCATCTTCGTCGGTGACGAGAACGACAGGAGGAGGTAGCTTGACTACCTGCTTGACCTCCTTGAAGCTGTCAAACCAAGCCAAGAGGTCCTCATACTCTTCTTGCGTCATCATCAGGGCATTGTCGGCCTCGTCCAGGCGGTACCATAAGCCACCAAGGGGTTGAACATATGCGATTCCATTGTCGGGGCGGTCAATGACGGTAGCAGTCTCCAGATCGACTGACTCCTCGGAAGACATGGGAGTCAAATTGTACCACTTGGAGGGAATCCTCTCAACGATAGTAGAAGTGGTCGGTTTAGGTTGAGTCTGAGTTTGCTCAGCCTCCTTGTTGGTGAAAGGGGTGAGTTGATTGACCTCGATGACGTCCAGGACGGGATACTCAATCTCCTCTGCGGGGAACTCGTTGCCCTCTTCATCTGTGACTATGACGGCAGGAATAGAAATCTTGGTGTTTTCCTTCTCTTTCTTGAAGCTGGCAAACCAAGCCAACAGGTCCTCGTACTCTTCCTGAGTCATCATGACGGGATTGTCCTCCTTGTCCATGCGATACCAGAAGCCGCATGAGAGCTGAGCGTAGGAGACACCATTATCCGGGCGATCGATAACGATGACAGTATCGAGGTTATTGAGTTCCTCGGGTGACAAGTGAGAGAAGTCATACCAAGTCGATCGGGTGTGGTCAATAGGAGTGGTCGTGGCAACGGCAGTAGGGGTGAGCACATTGACTTCCTCAAGCTTTCTGGCGCAAATTGGGGTGACCTCGCTGGCATCGTTGACTTTGAGAACAGAGTAGTCGGTGTCAGGAGTGCCAGGGACAGTTGAGGGCGACTCGGTGTTGGCAGTCTGCTCGCTTTCGGTGGAAAAGTTGGTCCTGTGAGCAGTTAACATCTGTGTATCGCAGTAGGAGGTGGGTTGGATCACATACGCAGTCGATTTCTTGCGAGCATGGTGAAGAATGGCTTCTTCAGCCTTCATGTTGGGAGCAGCGTCGCTCGAAATTATGCTATCTTCCTCATCGATAGGCATAGCAGCCTTGTCACTCAAAATTGGCGAGGCAATGATCGTCGCTTGTACGGAGGGTATGTCAACGACTTCAATAATCTCCATATCAGGCATAGAATGGTGGTAAGATCGGACACTAGGTTGCTTAGATGGGACCTCGACGACCTCGACAATATCGATAGCCGGGAAGGAATGGTGGTAGGAGCGTACTCCATTTGATGAGTTCAGAGCGAGGTCCTTTTCGGTCAAAACGGGAGTAGCATGGATAGGAATCTCCTGGATGTCGTCGTGCTGAGAGACGCAAAGTTCCTTGGCGTCGATATCGATCTCTGTGTCGTCGGTGGTGGCAGTGCTGTCAGCGCCTTGGATGACCTTGTTGTCGTCGGAAATCTCGACGTCCTTGTTAAGTTTGATATCTTTGGGGGCGGTGACAACTTCGGTGAAGTCAGAAGCCTTGTTATCGGTCATGCTGTCGGCAGTACCGTTATCTGTAGAAGTGGCAGACGTGTTGTTCTTGGGCAACTCCGCATCTTGTGCAGTCTGGGTAGGGTTATTAGCATCAATGTCGTCAGCAGAGGCCTTGTGAGTGAGTGGACATACCTTGTCATCAGCGGGACGGCACTCATGATCGTCGTTGGCCTGCGAGGGCGCGACAGTGTTCAGAAGCATCTTGACCGACAGCGCGGCGAGCGACGCAATGGCGATAGCCTTGACAACGTTGCTGGTCGGGAATGTGAGAGAGCGAGGGGCAAAGCCCAAAGAGAAGAAAGGGAAAGACATTCTGTCGAGGATGGTTGCCAAGATGGAATTTGTTGGAGGGTGATGAGGTGTCGTAAGAGTTTGGGTCGAGATCGCTTGTGTGCAAAGTTGCATGAAGTGATGCTTGTCCGAAAATTGGATGCTGCAGGAAGAAGTTCGGGGACAGATTCAGGGTGAGGGGAGGAATTTTTATACTTCCAGTTCTTGACCTTAGGTCGACTGACTGTCGCTTGCAATACCGGACCTGTTGTTGACATGGTGATCAATGAACAAAATGGTTTTTACATATAGTAAGCATTGAACAGATGTTGTGTTGGTGATAGTTTGGTGGTGGTGAGAGTCCAGGACGTCGGCCTGTGCGTCCAGCGACTGTGGATGTATTACATGTGATTGGTCAGATCCGCCCTTGTCGTCCGAACAGGGCAAGTGTCCACAGACCAGTTTCCTGAGCGTCCGAACTGCTATCTGAACAACCATCCAAACAGTGCCGACGATGCTCGTTTTCTCTGAACAGCCCCAAGATATTCGGCGCGCCAGCTCGCAATTGTAGCTAGAGTAATGTAGTCTTCAGTGAATTCTGTGGGTCCTATGCCAAGACGCGACTGTGCAAGCCTCGGAGTGAGTGTCAGGTACCGTTGTCGGCGGCTGCCAAAGGCCGCCTTTGGCGCTTGTCCCGAGTGTTCGCGGCACAGCAACGACAAAGAGGAGCCCGAGTTCATGGGATAAGTACACTACCCACTCTCTTTGTCTTGACGGCACTGAGTCGCATCTTTCGGAGGATCAGATAATGCCGACTACAGTCTGTTCACCGGGCCGGGCCGCCCCGAGGCTGCGAGTTGACCTTCCATATCACTGCCCCGAACCCGGATGTGGCGTCAGTCTCTCCTGTGTCATCCGCGGCATCGGCAACATTGGTTGCAAATCCATTGGAAGGGGAGGCATCGGTTGAGGAGCCATTGAATGCAGTGGCACCATATAAGGTAGCAGCTGAGGGAAAACTGTACATGACTTCGTGATGGGCTTGAGAAACCAGAATGGATTTTTATTTTCCTCGGCGCTCTACCGCTGATCGGTTCTTGCGAAGCTAACTCCCCCTGCCGCATAATCGGGAAATCAGGACGCCCGGGATCAGGCCATTAGTCTGAGCCGGTATCTAGGAAATTGAGTATCTCTTTGGAAATACAATCTTGGCGTAATTAAAGAATCAGAATCAGCTGAGTCAACCCATTGAAAGATTGTCCATGAAATATGATAATGCGGCGACCATATCTTCAGTCAAGTTCTGCCGAGTAGTTCGCCATGTAGAAGAGTGACGGTTCATTAGCTCGTAGACTAGGTTGGACATGATTAATCCCCTAGACGAGTCAGAACATGTTCGCAAAGGGGGATATCACCTCTCTAAAAGGGGACTTACTCGAAAACCACATCAGCTGTCGGGCCACTGCTAGTGACGCCTCGGAGCAAATGTGAAAGTCTTTGCATCTCCAGCTTGACATCGAGGGCATATTGTATCGTCATCTCGACGAGTCTCCTGGCACCATTTGTGAACGCGGTGTTGTCGACGGGGGTGTCTCCCTTGTCTAGCCCGAGCGTCTCCCTGACCATAGTCTCAAAAATCTTCTTTTCTTCCCGTTTCTTGATCACAATCTTGTAGATCTTAGTGATGATGGCGTGCTCAAGAAACAGACGCCCCGAGGATGGAGTACGCGGTCGAGGAAAGGGCGAAGAATCGTCCAACAAATACGACTCCAATAATGTGTTGTAGACGCTCGTAGTGAAAGCTCCAGCCTCGTTGATGATATGAAGCTGGAACAAGACAAACCTCAAATCACCCAGTAACGGAGAGTAGAGCTGTTTGGCTAATAGATCGGTTCGTGCGTCGAACCAGTCCATGCGGACGGGTTTGTGGACCCTGACATCGGCCTGCTCGTTAAGTGCCTCGGGTGCGACTCCTTCTCGGCCAACTTCGCTTGGGTTGTTGGCCATGGCAATAGTGGGAAACCAGTCGTGTGCTATGTATGGGCAGCCGGTGTATGCGGTTGAAAAGACTTCTGCGAATGAAGGCGAAAAGAGCAAAGGATAACTGAATCGTAACTCAGGATGGAAGAAAGGAACAAAGGAGGGAAGAACGGGGTAGCTGAGAGGAGGGGAAACGATGTGCACGGTCAACAAGACCTACAGATGTGTTTGGAGAAAGTTCAGGTATCTTCTAAGCTCGAAGTGATAAGCTGGAATGATGTGGGAAATGATTGATCGATGGCATGATTGCAGAGAAGAGAAATGGCGGGTCAGACCACGTTTAAGTATTTTTTCTGCATTCGAAGATTGCTTGTGGGATGCTCTTTCCAAGTTTTTCATGCCACATATCTTGAAGAGAAGTTAATGCATACCTCTAACAGCCAAGGGGAGGGATACGGACATATCGGATAACCCACGACAGGTGTTGAGGTGCATGAGTTACATGTTGATTTCATGTGAAGGGAACAGCATGCACCTGCAAACATGCCAAGAGGATGAAGAGAAATTGACCAAGTATTGATAACTGAGTTGGTTTAACTGGGATGGAGAAACATTTACATCGACATATTAGACCTGAAGTTCCAAGGGAATAGACAGCCGTCGACATCAACTCCAGCTTGCTTTTCCGACATGCATACATGACATTGGACCCTTCCTAAAAGACAGTACCCCAATCCTGAACACCTTCGCCCCAGTTACCAAATGGCACTCAGCATCCTGTTTCGCTCCTCCGCAACCTCTCTCTCCCACGGCAAGGCCTCGTAGTCGACGGGGTCATCCAACCACCAAACATCGCCCTCCGGCGTGACAAGCCTCAGCTCCGGCGCCTCCGGGGCACCCCAAACAGAATCGTTCTCGGGCTTTGGCCAACCGTCCTCGGGAAAGGCCACCCAGTTGCACCGGGCCAGAGAGGAGGATGCCGATCGACGCGCCCAGGTGTCGATGTGGTCGGTCTTGTCGATGAAGCTGTGGTTGACCCAGTCGCTGTTAACCAGGCGTTGTGAGTGCCAGCCAGCGAATGGATGATCGTTATGTTCTGATGTGTCGATCGTGTCGGTCTGGGAAGCGTCTTCCTCGGTGGGGGTGTCGATGTCGTTCTGGGCCCAGTCATCTTGGGGCCAAGCGTCCTGTGACCAATCGTCTCCAATGGGAGGAAGGTCTTCAACATCTTCCATTATATTGATGGGCGAGTCATACTCATCGTCGCTCAGAGCATCGAAATACTCGTGGTAGGAATCGTCGTCTGAGTCTCCAATAATGTCTGTGGTCTCGGACGAAGTGGGCCGAAGACAGTAGACCGACGGAACCTGGACCTCAGGTCTGGTGGTACACTTCTCCAAAGTAGGAGAGAACTGTGAAGAAAACAATCAGCTCTGAACTGCGACAATGAGTAGGGTAACAATAAATACCCACCGTCGACAAATGGATGTTGGAGTCCATTGGCTCGAGGGTGCGATAGGTATAACACATCTTGTCTTTGTTGGTAATATGAATGGAAGTGGTGGTGGTGTAGTGGTTGTTGTAGACGCTATATAGAAAGCAAGCGCAAACGAAACGAAGAACGCAAGAAAGAAAACACCAAAACGTCCATCGCGGCCGAGAATAAATAGGTGGTGCGCGGGGCCACCCAGGCCCGCACAACACTTCACTGAGCATTTGCCACCTGACAACTGCCATTGGGCTGCCGGACATACAACGAAGACCATTCACGAGCAAAGAAACCTGAGGGAATCTACCAGAGACCATTCACCAACACCTGATGGCATTCACCATCCATGAGCACCAAAAAATGGAGGTACGCTTGGCATCCATCGAGTGAATGGCACCTCTGTCTGATAAGATAACTGCCCGGTCGGAAAGAATAATGTCTTATCCTCGCCAAGGGAGCTGGCTCCCGTCTGTCTGTGGGGGTTATTCTGATGCTTCGTCTAGATAACATATGTATACAAGGAAGAGAAAACTGTTTTGCCAACAAGAAAGCCATAACTCGAATGCGCTAAGCAAGTAAAAGCCTCCGTGACTCTTGTTCGCCGCTGATGAACCTCTAAAGTGCCTGACAAAAAAACCTCTCTCCTCCATACAGGGTTTCTGTCATCAATGCTCGATATCGGCCTTTAATACCCTTATTCGTAGACCATAATACCATGGAGCCATCAAAATCTCCAATCCATCCTCAAAGTCCATTCTGCCATGTCCCCCTTCCACACCTATCCTCCTGTCCCCCTTCAATTTCCCCTTCGAACCCCCATCAACGCACTCTGCATCGAAAACCGCATATCCTCCAGCGAGTAATGCCTCCCCTCCGGATCCGTCAACACCAACCTCGGCACCCGCCCATCCACCGCATCAGGCATCAACACATTGATCTCCGGTTCCCGATAACGCACCCATTTGCACTGCTGGAGTTTCCGTCGAGGCGTTCCCGTCGAGTTTCGTTGGTTGGCCCTGGTGTTCAGCAGCCCCCTATGGTCGACGACACTTAGCTCGTCCCAGGTTTTTTGGGAGGTGCGCTGGCGGATGCGACGACGGGGCGTCTGTGGCTTGGGTCTTTTGTCGATACTCTCTTCTGCCTTGGGTTTCTCCTTCTCCTTCTCCATGTCCTTGTCGGTCAACCCCATGTCGGGCGCGCCTCCAACGGAAGAGTTGGACACCTCGGGCTCCTAACCCGGGGTGCGGGCAACTCTGCTGTTGTAGACGGCCATCTGTACGGGGGAGGTAAGGCGGAGTCGGATCTTGGATGGGGTCGGGGTGTCGGTCTGGAGCTCGACGTGTTCAGGTATGGTGGTCTTGCGAGGCGGGGTGGCAGTGTTGAAAGAGATGCCCCTGGCTGTAGCAGGAGGGCTGAAAGAGAAGTGAGTTAGCGGTCACTTTTTACATACAAAGGAAGACGACTTTGAAGACCGAAATACCTTCTGATGAGACGCTTCTTGGGGCTTGGGCTGTGAAGCACGTCAAATAGAGATGTGGCGACCGATTCCTCCCACTTCCTCTTCTTTGGGCTGCCAGAGATGGGTTGACTGTCGGTCGGCGAAGAGGTGAAGTCAACGTCAAAGTGAGACTGGACCGAAATACAATCGAGGATCATCTCGTCGTTAGAATTGGCAGTTGGGGAGTTTTTGTCCGTTGACACTTTGCTCTCATCCGACTTTGATGCGCCGACGTCCGCGCCGATATGCGTCATTCTGGGGTCTTTGTTTTGCTTCTTCGCCGCGCTTGTATCGTCGTTTGTGCAATCCTTCTTTTCGCTCATTGTGGATGCACCGGCAGGCTTGTCGCACCCGGAAGACTCAATGGATGACTCACTCCACGGGTCCTGATATGTGCTGACGCTCTCCGTGGGCGTGAGTTTGGTGGCTTCCCCTGCGCCAAAGATATTCCGAGCTGAAAGTAATGCCTGGGATCCGAGTGCGCCGATAAAAGGTAGAAAGAAATCCATCTTTGTTTGTCGTGGGGGGGGAGGGGGGGTTTTGAATGCGCGCTCGGAATACTATGGGTAATCGTTAAATCGTTGATGCTGGCTTGATCAAAACAGTTGGCGTGGCCGAGGTGTTGAAGGAAACGTGATTTTGTGACAAAGGACTTAAACGAATTTTGGGGAGGAAACAGGAACAGAACCTGTATTGAACCAACTTGCGATCGCAGAAAGTAATCCGTGAACAATAGGCGGGGTCACTGGCATGAAACCTTGATCGTCTATTTCCTGCGGCAGGCAATATAACCTGAAAGTTATCACAATACGAAAGTTGTATGGGATGGAAATTATGAAACAGTTTTAAGAATGCACAATAGAAAGTCAATGCGGGAACCCAAATACCAAGCCGATGACTTTTATTTCTTTATGGCCTTTAAAAGACTGGATTGGGGAGTCCCCATACAAGCTTGCCTCTTTTTCGGGTGCTATGTTTGGTTCGACACATTCCTTGAGCTTTAGCAGATTGTAGTCATACAAACACATCATCGTTGCAATGATATAGCCACTCTCCCTTGAAGTAAAGTATAGCTAGCCTTTGCTATCTCTAACTCCCTCGAATCTGGTGATCCAGCAATTCATGCTGCCGATGGTAGACTCATCACTTTTGGACAAGATTCCCATTTCGCTTATCGCCGACTTCCATGACCAGTCCCGCAATCACAACTCGGCGGGGTCGTGCAAAGAAAAGTTGTCACCCTCTGCACTCGTCAAGACCAGGCCTGGGACTGACACGTTCCCCGAAAGCTGCTCGATAGGCCTCTCCTCCGGCACCGGAATCCATGTGCAGCGATGCCGTATCTTGTGTCCTCTCCTTTTGTCGTTATTGCCCCAGGCACTCAGCAGACCATTCCTTGCGACGAACTGATGTTCATGCCACTTTATTTCCTCGGGCCTCTTCCGGTGCGATTTGCCCTTTTTGATCTTCTTGTCACCATTGATCTTTTCAGCCTTAATGCGCCCCCTTCCATCCTCGCTGGCTTGGCCCTTTTGGTCCTCCTTACCTTCTGGAAGATTGAGAATCTTTGCAACTTGCTTTTCCATCTCCTTCAGCCTTGCAAGAACCTTTTTGACCTCTCGGTTGTAGTCTTCGAGGGTGTTGGCTTTGGATAAAGATGTTGAGCAAGTAAGGCACCTGCGAATTAACTCTGCCTGTTTCTGCTTACCCTCCACCGAATCAATGACTGGCGCGTTACTCAAGTCAACGGCTTCGGCATGTTGCTGACCGTTCAGGTGGTGGACCTTCGACACATACTTCAACTTGTACCAGTGCCCATTATCCAACATGACGTACTGGACCCCATTTGTCGATGGTTCGAAAACGCGGACCACTTTGGGTTTGTAAATCTGAGGATCTTCAACCATGTTATGGGAAGTTGACGCAGTCTGTTGGTCTGTGGGCGAGATCTTTGTACTTTGAACACCTTCTCGTTGTTCGAGGTACGGCTTCGGGCATGCAATAACGGGAGTGTTGGGCGCGGTCATTGCCGACGATTCTATGCTTGATGTCGAGGTAATTTTCGTTTTCTTTGCTTCGATTTTGCTACAAGACAGTTAGGGTGGGTTGCATGTAACGGGCGCGCGCGCGCGGGGGGTGGGGGGGCTTAAGGTCAACTACCTCTCCGCAACGCGCTTTTTAGAGCTCTCTCCGGCCATTTTAGCAGGCTGGGTTGTGTTTGCGGCCGTGAATGTCCTGTCGAATTTCATGCACGCGCTCGCCTTGCCGTCCGTGCTGTGTTCGACGTCGCTCGTCGCTCGTCGCGGCGAAGTCGGTGTCCGCGACGACTTTGACGTTGCTAATCTCAGCCAGAAGCGCCGAATAGCTCCTGCGCTTTTTCCAGTTAAGCGTACGGAACAGTATTAATCCTGGGAGGCGGAGTGAATAGCCAGCGTGCTGTCGGATATGGAACTTCGTCGAAATGGGTCGTGCGATCAATTACGCGGGATCAGGATGTTGGTGGAAGATTGGCGCAAAGGCGAAAAGGTAAGGAGATTGATTGCGGTGTTTTGGAAAGAAGTGGAAGATTTTACGATATTTGGGAGAAAGTTGAACTTTCGAAGCGCATGTACTGTGTAGGATCATAGATGGGAAGGAAGTAAGGAGTAAGTGAAGGGGATGGGGGGGGGGGGGGGGGGGGGCAATTGCCGGGCCGGAAGCAACACAACTCGTGGGTGATGTGAATGGTAGCAAAACCTGAACGTCTTGTGGTCATCTGATTACTCACCAGGCGACTGCACTTCTATTTGTTTGTTCAGGTACAGATCGAATTCGTACAATGCAAATAAATGTAGAGCATCGTATGGGAATGTCAAGTGCCCATCTTCTTTGAAGTCACGGCGGGCTTGCGGCATCGACGAAGGGGATAGAAGCGGACGAGCCGTAGTGTTGCTTGTTTAATCCACTTTGGGTAGCTAGATTCCAGCTATAGAACTATTTTATTCTCGAAAGTAACGAGCAATGAGAGAAGATAGTGTCACCTTGTATGACTTGCCCCCGTAATACCTCAACTAGAAATCTTCCTGTTCGGCCTTTACCATCGAAAGATAACCTGAGTTCCTGTAAATTGTGTCCTATTTCCAACTTTCCCGCATCCTCCTTGCCATGGACTTTCCAGAGCACTGGATGATCTGATCTGACCCACTCGATTGGTTTCGTATAACCGGCGCCCGTTTCCTTTCCTAGTGCCGATTCTTGCTATGGGCTTTGTTGCGACCGTTGTCTATTTCGTGCTCGAAGAGATTCCCACTATTCATTCATAGTCCAAAGGATCGTGTAAGGAGTAAGACTCTCCTTCTGGGCTCGTTAATGTCAGGTCTGGTACCGATGAGTTGGTGAGGGTTGGCAAAGCAGGTACACGTAACCAGTTGCACTGCCCCCGCAGCCTGCGTCCCTCTTCCTGGCGTCTCCTTTTGCGAGTGTCGATGAAGCCGTTCTCGTCGACCAGGCTATGGCTGGCCCAGGAGTTGTCCTTCTTCCTCGTCCGGCGCGATTGGCGCTCTTCGTTCTGAACATTGCGCAGGCAAGTATCTGTGGCCTCGCTGATGTTGGGTTCCCTCAAGGAATAGATATATTCAATGTCCTCCGTTGTAAACACTTCCAGGTCTTCGTCACTCAGTGCGTCGGAAAACCAGTCTCTGTCATCCAAAAAATACGCTGTATCGACCGTATAGGCGTCGACTCCTGGATCAGGCACAGAGTCGTCGGTGGACATGAGTGTGTTCACCCTCCAGCTGATAAAGTCGCTATACTCCTGGTCGGTCATCTCGCTGAGACTCCCATCTTCCTCCAAGCGATACCACAGACCATCGTCCAGGCGTGCGTATTCCAGTCCAGTTTGTGGTCTCTCGGCGATTTCGACCAGCTTGGGTTCCTAACCCGCAGCCTGGTCATCGGAACTGCTGTAGAGGAATGACGCTGCCTCTGTATTCCTGATCGTGACCTTCTTCGGTTTCGGAAGGTTGACGTCGGGCGACTGTTCAGTATTACTAAAATACCCAGTGTCCAAAGTGTTGGGTCGAACGTCGGTCGACTGAGACATCCTCAAGTTTGTAGAGATGGTTGTTGTGGCGATACTGCAATGGCCATTTGTTAGATTTTGTGAATAGTCAAAGAGATTGGGAGGTTCTGGGCGTAGGTGACTCTTTACCTTGCACTTTCATGCCTGTAATAATCAGCACCAGGGCAGTCTCTGGACCCAGCGAGTGTATCGTCATCCTTCTCGTCAGTGATTGATATGTTAGAAGCACAAGCTAGGATATGCCTGCTGGAGGTCTTCTTCATGTGTGTATATATGTTATCATGGCTGTCTGCGTTCTCGGTTGTTTGTGCTTCGTCGGTTCCCATATTCGCGTTCACGCTGTGGTATGGATTGCGGTAGTCGTCGGTAGTCACGGATTCAACATTATGTGCTGGTAGAGGCGCGCCAGCTTTGCTTCCCTCTTGATGAGCTGCGCCGACATCGGCCGTAGGGCATGCGGCGACTCTAGCAAAGTCGAAACTCTTCAGCTTGATAATGGTGCGCGGCGATGGTTGAGTCGTGAAATGATTGTTTGCGGAAAGTTGAACTGCGAACAAAAAAAGCACAGAGTCAACGCGGTTGGAATGTGTAGGAATGTAATGCGTCGGGTGGAGCTGCCGGAGCCGAAGCCGAAACCTTACAGCTCGGGTACCTGGGGCAGGCAACAAAGAGCCGGACCGGCAGCAGCTTCTGACGTAACATTGGTAATCGTCAGCTTTTGGGTCTTGAAGGATGGATCACGAACTTACCATGTTCAGGAATTAGGGGGTGAGTTGAGCAGCATTTATCACTTGTATTCACAGTTCAGTAAAGAGGGGAGAAGGAACAGAGTAGCATCGCATAGTCACTTTTGAATAGAGCATCGACACTCGATAGAGTGAGGAAGTTAATGTAACAAATCACAAGTAGTTTAGAATTCATTCAAAGGTGCCAATGTATCAGGAAAGAATAGACGGCCAAAGAGTTTGTATAATTTAACTAACTCTCGACCTTTTTCCCATCCACCCCCCTATGATCCTAGCGTTTCCTACTCCGACACAGACAACCATCGTCAAATGACCTTATTCTGATACTCCTACATTCCGAGTCCATCATCATTTCCCTCATCCCTTCCCTTGGCTCTCTTAGCCCCCTTCCTTCCCCGCCCTGTCCTCCCTCAGTTCTTGTACTTCTTGGGATCCTCCAAGAAGTGCTTGCATCCCTCCGGATCCGTAAGCACCAGGAACGGAACCGGTTGCTCGGCCCTATGGGCAAATTCTCGGAGCGAGAAGGGCTTCTTCACCCAGGTGCACCGATGGTGCAACCTCTTCCTCATCTTTCCAAGTTTGTTCATCTTAGTGTCGAGTCTGCCTCTTCCGTCAATCAAGGCATTGTTGCTCCATTTCCTGCTTTCCAGCTTTCTCTGCTCGCGGCGTGATAGCCGCGGCTTGCTTGCGGGTTTGTTGGAGGGTTTGTCGGTGTCGTTGTGGATGCTCGACACCATTGTTCTTCTGGCTTCAGGCACGGAAGCCTGGCTCTCGGTGGCCCTGACCGGCTCGGGTCCCTAACCCGTAGCGCGGTCATGCCTCTTCAAGTGGTTTAGCTCCATTTGCTGTTCGGCGATGTTGACTGTGCGCTTTTGGAACTCGACGAGGTTGTCTTGGTTGGTGTACTCAGTCGGGGGTGTATAGGTTGGGAGTGCGACCCGTGCATCCTTGGTCCAGATGGATTGCTTTGGCGTGGCGGCGCTGTACAATTGTTAGCAATGGAAGATTGTATTATGAAGATAGAATAAAGCGCAAGCTTACCTGAAAGGACTAGCCGTCAACCAATTGGCTTGGGAGTTATCACCAGGCCTGGTGGGAGTTGGGGTAATCTTCAGCTTCGACAAGGAGCTGGTAAGGGGATCGACAAGGCCATCTTGACCCAAGTTGGAGTTCTCGACAATAGGTGAGGAATTCTTGCTGCTCGTCTCCACGATATTCCTGTCGAGGGTGTTGCTTGTGATGAGGTTGTCGGATGTGTCATGCTTTTGATCGTTGGCAGGGTTGTTGACTAGTGGGAAGCAGTCCCTGAGCGTGATGCGACGGAACGGAAGCGCTTCTGTCTGCTGGTACGGGTGATGGATTGGTTTCTCGATAGTGGCCTCTTGTTGCTCGTTTGCGCGGGCCAGGGCGCGATGGTGTTGAAGAGCTCTAAACATGTCGAAATCGTCTTGACTGGATCGAGTTCTGCGGCAGCGCAAGTGGTTAGTCGGATATTAGATTAAGAGTGATGGGGTTGGGAGGCGCGTGTGGTGGGAAGCTCTACTTACTGTGTTGTTGAGCGAAAATGCTAATCCAGAAGTGTCGACAGTGAGGTCGTCGAGGAGTTGGTCGAAGAGGGGGAGTGTAAGTGGGTTGGAAGATCGATGTGCGATGCGAAGGCTTTGTGCAGGTGTGCAGAAGAGTGGGTGCAGGTGCGGGTGCAAATTGAGATCCTCGTTGTGAGATGGGGGAGGAAGAAAATTTGGAGAGGGGAAGTTGGAGTGGCTCGACGTTTATATCCTCCTCCGGACGAGAGGCGACTGGCGATGAATTGCTGGCGACATCGGACGATTTAGTTGCGACATTAGATGAACACCAAACGACAGAACTGGACTTGGCAACTGTTCGGACCCGAACTGCCTTGGGGATCCTGAACAGCCATGAACAACCCTGAAATTCGAATAACAGCCAGTCTTCGACAATTGCTCAGTCATGCCTGTTCAGAGTTCAGTGCGTCACAGTCTGCTACCGCTGTTCACATTCAACCGACCAAATCTGACCTGTTGTAATGCTTTGTGACGTGAACAGCCAGGCTGGGTGCAGCTATCCAGAGAAGCGCAAGCCAGGCAAAGCATCCGCAGAAGCCTTTCGGTGGCACTACTCTACATCTTCGTGAAGATTCCGAGACTGGCTTCAAGTAACTTCTGGCCATAAAACCCAAGAGAAAGAGTGACAGAATGATGTACTGGAAAGTTGCTCGAGAGATTTGAGGACATCAAGTAGGAGACTGGATAGGTTTAACTGCAAGATAATCGAGAAATTCCTTGGGTCCCATCCTTTTGGTTCCCTCCCGTCCTTTCTTTCCCGACTCCATCTGCACGTCATACCCCGTCCCTGGCCCGGCCACCTCAGCACTACTCTTCGATCTCCTGAACCGTGCCCAAATCCTCCACCCGTGACCTCCATGCGCATTGCTGTACCGCACTCATAAATCGTGCCGTCTTCTTCTCCATCTTCTGTTTTGCCTCGACCTTAAACTCCTCCAAGTCTTCGAGGGAAAAGTCGTCACTATCGTCTTCCATAATTACCTCAAACTTGTCGACAGCATGGCTTGCGACCGGGTTGCGGTCACGTTCGGTAAACCGTAGGTTTTTTGCGCGCGCCCTGAAGATGTTCAGGCGACGTGGCGGATAGTAAATTCCTACAGGCTCAGTGCTTATGACCGCTCTGGAGGTCGGTTTCAGGTCGAGTTTCTTGTCCTCAGTGTGATTCATGTGGCGGCGGGTGATGGAGGTGGATGTTTGCATTGCCTGATTGGGGGTGATTTTTCCAGGCTCGGACAGAGCCGAGTTCGAGATGCCGTTCGGTCCGGGTGCTTGAAAACTGTTGAAATTCGTGCCTGAAGTGCTGAATTGGGTTTTCGCTGAAGATTTCTCGGTGCAAGGTAACCGGATCTCCACGGCGGTGCTAAAGTACGATAGCTTGGGTTAGCATATGGTGGACCTACATCAATAAACACCTCTTTAAAATATCTTACCTTTCCGTAGCAGATCCGTTGCTGATATAGAAACCAGCGACATTAGTTTCCAGTCTGTCGATGCATGCGCCGTCTGTCGCCATGCCAGTGTCCTCATGGGTAGACACATATCTGTCGCTGTTGGCAAGCACCACCTAATTTTCATCGTCAGCCTGCGTTTCTAGACTGAGTTTATGCTTATCCGTCCTTACTGGAGGTTCTTCGGTAGCGTCTAGAAGGCCAGAAACGGCTGGGACCTCGCGGTCAGAGTTGAGAACAGCCGGAGATGTCATGCTTGCGCCAGTAATGTGTGTAGATGAAGGAAGAATGTCAATTAAGATGCAGAAGCAACGGGAAATAGATACACAAAGGAATTGTTTATCGGTCTTTTGATCAATTCAGAAAAGTAAACCTGTGACGGTGAACAAGCCATAAGTTCAATTCTAGAGGTGAACAGTCATGAAAATGATGAACAGCCATGCACAACCCTGATACTTCAGGTACAGCACGCTGCCTTCAGTCGCCCAGTCTTCTCTGTTCAAACCTTGTCAAGCGACTGTCAGAAACTCCAGTTCGTTCGACTCAGGAAATCCAGTCCTGTTCACGTCCAGCCGCCCGACTCCCTTCGTGTTAGCCTGTCACCGAGATTAGCTGTCGCGAACATCTTGGCTGCAGCTGACCCCAGCTGTCGCACATCAGTCTATCGACTGGTGCTCTTCATGTGGTGTTGCTGAGGCACCTGGCTTGTAGACTAAACTTGGATCCTGCTCAGTCTAGTTCCTTTATGCCAGTGCAGTGACATATATGATAACACAATGTCCATTGTTCTTGTGCCCTTTGTTGTCCAGTGCTTCTTCTCAGTGTAAGTTGTCAAAAGCCAGTACAGTTTCACAATACTTCTAATCAACAAAGAGAGTGGTGGGGCTAGAATTGGAGGAGAACAGTAGACAATAAGTAACTGGAAGAGCATAAGAAGTTGTATTGCATCACGACTGGTAGTAGAGGTAGACATCTCGTAGTTTGTAGTGGTCCTTCAGGGAAATGTTGTCAATTCGGTCCACTGAGCTTGAAAGCTCCTTCCTACTTGTTCCTCCATCTGCAACTTCCTCATCGTGTGTTGGTCCGTGGGATTCTGAGTCCTACTCCCAGATTCAAGTTTCCTGGATCCAAGCATAGAGGTTATATCCATGTCAGGGTAAGGGAGAAAATAGAGTAAAGGAGCAGCTAGGTTTTTGGGAAGAACACCTACCTCTATGAACCCTTGTAAAATCAGTTTACTTCCAATTCCGACGACTTTTCAGGACGATTATCCGTCCACTCCCCTAACCTGCCTGGCCTCTCCGACTTCCGAAGACATGTATCAGATACAGTTATCAGAAAAAGCTTGTTCCCCGGAACCCATTCCCCCTTTGCATCAACCACGAACTGAGCCGCTAGTCTTCGATTGCAAAAGCCTCGCCCAAATCCTCCAAGCGGCGCGGCCGCCAGGAATACTGATTGACCATATGCAAGAAGCGTTGGGTCTTCCTCTCCATCTTTTCTGCTCCCGCTGACTGGAACTCCTTCAAATCTTCCGCGGTGAAACCCTCTCCGTCGTCATCGTCAATCGTCTCAGCGGCTTTGGCAAAATCCTGTACACCGGATGCCTGACTCCACACATAGACAGGTCGGGCAGCTCGTTTCATCCCGCTCTTGTTGAAGATATTGGGGCGACGGGGCGGATAGATCGTGGGCACGGGTACAGTGTCTTCGACGACCGCCTTTTGTGAATCGGAGGCGGTTTTGGTTAAAGAATCGGTTGTTTGAATCGAGGTAGCTGTACTGGTAGAGCTATAGAGGACAAAAGAAGTTAAAATTGTGGTAATACAATAAAACAGTCGAGAAGATTTTCTTGGGGAAGGTAGACTTACGTCTTTGTTGCGAAGTCGCTGCGGAGAGCGCAAGCAACACCGTTTTGCTTATTTCCACTAGCTTCGCCGTCTGACATAGAAGTCCTTCCGTCTTGTGCGCTCGAGTTATCGTCGACTTCGGTAGTTGTCATCGCATGTTTGCCGTCCATTCGAAAAACCGTACTGTTCTCGGCAGTTTTCGCAGTATCCTGACCGACAGAGCCAGTAAGATCCAGTCGCTTAGCCAGTTCAGTGACCTCAACAACACTGAGGGCGTGGCAGTAGGACCGGTTTTTGGCTGGTGAAGTAATGGTCGAGCTTTCTTCATCTCTCGGCATGGTGATAACCTCGGCGGAGCTGGCGGGCATGTCAACTTTGGTGTCGACCAAAGAAGCTACTGCAAGCTCGTCAGTGATTGTGACAGCGCAGTTGGAGTTGTTATCTTACCAGGAGACAAGTCCATCTTGCGGAGAGAAATACTCTCGTTTGATGAGTTTCCCGGCATGAAGTACCGTGCTTGCAGTTGATAAGATGGGAATATAAATCGAAAAGTCTGTTGTAGGTGAAGTGGTGAAAGGATGTCGCAGGCAAGTTGTGTCAGCGCTCGCGCAGGAGGGAAGTTGAGATCACCAAATATAGATACTTAACGAATCGAGCAATTGTTTACCAGCCAAATAAACAAAACTACGGGAAGACCTTAGCAGCTAGCATTTTCAGCGACAGCGGCAGTTTTCTGGCGGCGGGCATCGCTCTGGCAGCTGTCAAGCGCCCAAACCTTGTGCTATCATCATCTGCCTGGTTGCTGTGGTGATTTCGAGTTTCAAGATCGTCCGTTTGTTAAGGTTCCACGGGTTAATCGCCTCCGTAATTCTATGCCCTTCACTTGTTACCTACCTCTAGGTAGCCGACGAGATAGCTGGAAGCACAAAGGCCGTTGTTGTGCATACATATGACATACTGATTAGATGCGGACAGGAGAGAATGATAGATAGCACATAACGGACTGCTAGGGTATGGAGCGAATTAGGAGCACGATCAAAAACAGGAAATCACCCAGAGACCATAAGTGGCGCAGTGACACGGAGGTAGGAAGAATAGATTCAGATGTTTCGCTGGATATCTATGGTTCTGTAAGAATAAAGAAAACTTATGTCCAACCCATTACACTCCATCCATCATGAAATTACCCCAGAAACCGGTAGTTCACCGGGTCATATAACCAAAACAAAGCTCCCCCGGTGTAGAAACTGTCGCCTTGAGCACCCGAAATAAATCTTTGACCGCCAGCTCTTCCAGGTATCCAATTGACAAACTCTTTGACGAGTGTTTGTGTCCGTCCCCAACGGCGGGCCTTGACCTCTTGCTCCTTTTTGCTCAGTTAAGATCTCCCATCTTCGTCTTCGTCTTCGGATTCTTCGTCAGAGTCCAATTCCTACTTGGAGTCCTCGAGCTCAGGGTCGATTTTCTCCATTTCCGAATCGATCCTTTCAATCTCCGAGTTAAGCATTTCCAGCGACGGGTCAGGAGCTTCTTCTGCCGCATCAAACTCAGCAAGGAGTTCTTCATCGTCTTCATCCGATTCTTCGTCCGTCTCGTCGTCCTCCTCTCGCTGGTCCCGGTCCATCTTCCAGGCAAGGAAGTCCTTGAACTCCCTGTCCGTCATATGCATGTACCCGCCGTCTTCCCCCAGCAGGTACCAGAACCCGTTGTCGAGCTGGGCGTACTGGGTGTTGAGCTCCGGTCGCTCGACGATTTGAACGACCTCGGGCTGCCAATCTGGTCTATACTTGGAGATATCAAAGAAGGCGTAGACGGGCGCAGCAGGCTTGCCTCCATCTGGTGGGGCGGCAATGGCACGTTGGGCATCTGTTAGCCCGGTTGGCTTTGCGTTTCTAAGTAGAGGTAGAGTTAGCAAAGCCTATTTAAATAGGCTAGGTGTGGTGACGACGGCTTACTTGATACTCCATTTTCGGATGTAATGGGGCTGGCCCTCGTGCTTGCGCTCGAACAAGTCCTTGAAGAGGAGAGAGTATGACATCTTGAGGAATGGATGTTGACAGTTGACAACGTGACTCGGAGTGTACCGGCTGGGTAGTTGAGCGGTGGTGAATATCGGATTGTGAGAGGGTGTAAATCGGTGTGTGGTGTTGCTTGCTGGTGTTGACTTGGTCGAGGTGAATTCTGGTGTCGAGTTGTCTGAAAGTCTCGCTGGAAGAGGTGCGGAAAAAAGGGACGGAGAGAAGGATGGCTATGGACGTCGAGCTCGAGAAGATATAGAGGTTCAAATGATTATTCGCAAATTTCGATGCTGGAGGTTAGTTGTCCTCAAAAGTGGCTGTCAGGATTCTGAAGTCAGGAATAACGGGGTAATGAAGCGAGGAGTTGAAGAGAAGCCTGGGTCCAGAGCGGGAGAATTTATATTACAGATTCTTCCACAATGCCCCCCCCCCCCCAAAAAAAAAAAAAAAAAAATTTCATCGGAAGTCCGCCCTTCACTGGTACCTCGCAGGTTTAATCGCAGATTATGTATGACCCAAAGTCGTCCCAACTCAATAGGAAGTCCGGTAAATTGGACTTGAATGCGCACTGCATGCCGGGCCAGGCAGGCTTGGTGGTCTGGGAACCTGACGCCCAGTTGAACGGAGCCACCCGACCACAGCTCCGCAGGTGGTATAAATACTGCAGAGAAGATGCCCATGTTTTTCGGTGACTATTTATGATGTTATGGTTCTTGTTCACTGCGAATGACCGTCGCGATAATGTGTATTCTTTGAGGTCCGGTCGGTCTGCCGGGATCCCAGTGCTTTCAGTTGTTGCCGATGGCGCTGCGTCCTGCAAGTGAATGTGGCCCACGCAGCGCTATTCCTGCCCTGTAGAAACGGAAGCTGCAAAACCCAGCGAGGACACTCGATACATTTAATGAGCTTCATGACATAGAAATACCAGTAAAAAGCGCGCGAACAAGTAAAATGTATCTTCAAAATTCATCCACGTTTTCTCGACGCTGTATGAGCGATTTGTCCCAAGCCACTCGAGAAGTCGCGAACATCTCATGACGGAACAACAGCCCTGCAGGTGCCCTGTAGCTACCCTAAATCTCAGCACCCACCGATGCCATGACATGCAACTTATAGGGTACCTCTACAAATCTGCACCTCGGCAGCTCCCGTCCCGCACCGCACCGCAGGCTATAAACGCTCATGCCATGCCGCCAAGTGGAAACTGAGGGAGAAATATCCGTTCTTATGTACAAGAATGATATCTGGTATCTATCTGGCTGCACCGTCACGCACGCACGCAAGTTGAAAGAAAGAAAAAAAGGAACAAGTAAGGCGGACAGTCCGAGATATATTTACCCTCCCCATCGCATCGCAGTGCAGTGCAGTACCGTAAACAACGTTGACAACGGAGTTCCTTTGCCCCGGCCACCACCACCTAGCACCTTACCTTACCACACACATGATTTTACATCCCGGCTAGACCTAACAACCCAACATAACAAAACAAACACAACCAGAAGAAACCAATTGCCCACAATGCCTATATCCACGCACGTCTAGGAAACCCTATCAAAACAAAACAAAACAAAACAAAAACATTAACAACAACAACCATCCTCAAACAACTCCCCCGCGACAGGTAGCAGGTAGGTAGGTAGCAAGTAACCACCGACCTCGTTATTGAAAGCCCTAGACTAGACCAACCACAACAGCCCTACTACTACAACCCCCGTCCCCCCTTGGACCCCCCCTGCCCCAAAAACAAGAAAAAAACAGAGAAAAAAAAAAAAAAAAACAACACCCCCCAAACTCAGTAGAGAAGATACTACTGCGTAACAACTCACACCCTTTCGGACTACGGATATCCAAGTTTATCAACTCAAGATTAAGGGTTAACCTTAACGTAGCGCCATAGACCGCTCGGCCATCTTGCCTTTTGAAAAGGGGTTGATGAAAATTTGGAGTGCATTGTGTGGGTTATGAATGAGATGGAGTTTGTGATGGGGCACCATATGATGCTTGAGGTTGGGGGGGGGGGCAGGGAATTCCCTCCTTCTCTCTGTTTTTTTAGACCCCCCGCCCAAATTGGTAACCTGGTGGACAAGCGAAGCGACGCAGTTACTGAACTACCAAACGCTCTGCGAAGAACGTGAAGGTGATGATAGCGTCACATCTAAGTCGCTCGCTCGCTTGTTTTGTATAACTGCGTGCAAATTGGCACAACACCACGGAACTCGCATCCCGCATCAATATCCTGCTCAGGAATCCAAAACATGTGCACATCAGGTTCCCATGTTTCGGGTTTGTACTCAATCAATTGCTATCTCACTGCCTTGTAGTCCATCCCCAATCTGTACAACCAAATGCCAAAACTTCAAAACTGTCCGCTGATGCTGAATGACGATAATGGGGTATTCGCTACGCTTAACAATGCTTTGATCTCCCCTCCAAACACTGCTAAACAAAACAAAAAATAGAAAATCATGTCACAAGTTATGTTTGAACACTCAACCACCAAAATAGTAGTACCTTTCCCGCCCATCTCAATCCAAGTGGTGTGGTCCAAGGAAGACCGCCGTGAGAGGGCAGCACGCAGAGCAGCGCCTTTCAGCTGCCCCTCCTGGTAGATATTGGAAGACCGATAAAAGCTAACCTTGGTGGCAGCACCTTGACCGGCAGCTTCACCTTGAGTTGTGGTGTTCCCTTGGACGACCGCTTCCTGCGGACTTCTCGGTCTCCTCCTGGACACTCGGAAGCGTCGAACTTGTTGCGATATTCCCTTGCGCAACAGGAGCCTGCGAAGCAACCTGTTCTCCACGATCCTCACCTCCCTTGAACAAATCCAACATCTTCCTTTGGTTGGGACTTAGATGGCGTGGCCACAACCCTGGCTGATTCGGGCCACTGTGTGAACTGCTCGTCCTTCTGGGCCTCGAAAGCCTCTCGGCCCTTGGGCCCTTTGAGGGATTAGAACCTGACGGATACGGCTCATCTTGTGACCTTCTTGGGTTGCGAGGGTCGTAAAGTTGTCGATGATAGTTTGGTTGAGGATACGGCCCGTGTAGATTTTGTCCAGGAACTGCATCATTGTGCACCCATACAGGTTCCCGTGGCGACATCGAAGGTCCTTGCGATGGGTTGAATTGCAGCTGGAATTCATTCGAGCCTTGCTGTGGTGCGTTGAAATGTGGTGGAGGTGCATTCCACTGCGGTTGGCGCACATATGTTTGTCCTTGGTAGCCACTTTGATATGGTGATGTTTGGTGCGAGACCCGAGTCAGTTCAGCAGGAGGTTGAACAGGCACAGAGTTATGGTCCCAAAAGTTGAGACGATGAGTAGGACAATAGAGGAAGCCGTGTTCCCATCCGCACCATTGGCAGAGAAGGGGACGAGCTCGGCTGAGTGAGCCCCTGGTGCAGGAACAACCTGTAGTATATGGTCAGTATGTATTTAACGCAGAGACTTGAGGCGCAAAAGCTTACGCAGCTTTTCGAATACCCAGTGGCAATGCTCGCAGAACACGCCTGCGAAGCCTGTTTCTGGGGGCTGGTTTCCGAAGTTCTGCGGGTGAGTCTGGCCTGGGATCGTGCTTTGAAACTCTGCGGGTAGCCTTGATACCTGAGATGCATCGTAGTCTTCTGTAGGAAGAATCACAGCTATCTGAGGGACTCGAGTTGACCTTGGTGCTTCGGGTAGTGGGTTTCTAGGTCCTCCTGACTGCTCGTGTTCTGGTGCTGAATTTTCGGATTCGTCAAAAAGATTCGAATTCCAAGACGGAGCGTCAACTAAAGGATACTGGTCCTGGGCGGGTACATTTCCCCAAGCCGGATGTCCTTCCAGCGGGTATTCCTCGCCATGATTCTACCTCATGCGTTAGTAATACCCACGCTATCCGGTGGCTGGCAAAGACATACCTCAGGAACTCCTGGAATTTGACTGCTCAAGCCCACCGCAGAGCGGCGCTCCCTTTCCCTTCCCCTTTCATGTCCTTGCTCCCGGTTGAGGTTGGGTTGGGCCGAAGACACAATGAATGGAACCCAGCCAAGAGGTTTTTCAGCCTTCACTTCCGCCTGCACCGCATCAAGCATCCGCTCCTTCGCTTCCATTTTCCGTCGCTCTTCTGCGATTACTCTACGTATAGCGCGAACTTGCTTCTCCAGTTGTTCATCAATAACCTTTACCTTCTGAAGCTCTTGCTCTCTGATCATCAGATTGCGATCCCTCAGATGGACAAGTTCCTCGATCTTCTCGTTCTGGCTCCTTGCTACTTCACCATACTCCTCGGCGCTTTCAACCAACTCAAGCCTCTTTGCTTTGAAGTTCAAGCAAATTTGGAGCATTTTATCCTTGTGCATTGGTTCCGAGCCACCAAGATTGGAAATTGGCTGGCCAGCACGGGCTCTCTCCTCCCTTTCCTTGACCACCGGGTCTGTAGTTCCACTCTGGAGAACTGGCTTGGGTTTTTCAGCTTCCACATACTTATCCTCGGGTCCACGTTCTTTAACCCTTTCATATTCGGCCATTTCACGTGCGATCCTTTGGGCCGCGAGGTTGTGCCGCTCGAATTCTTCAGCCTTGAATTTTTCGTGCATCAATCTCTCGCGTTCAGCTTCTTCACGCTCTGCCTTCTCGCGAGCAACCCTTTGACGGCTGGCTAATTCACGTTCAAATATCTGGCGCTTAGCTTCCTCATGCTCGGCTTTCTCGCGCTCAGCTTTCTGCTGTTCAGCCCTCTCGTGCTCAAGTCGTTCCGTTTCAATTCTCGCGCGATCAAGTCTTTCACGTTGGGACTTTTCACGTTCGGCCTTCTCGGTTGCAAGCCGTTGTTGTTGGATCTTCTCGCGCTCACTTCTTGTACGTTCAGCCCTTTCACGTTCAGCTTTCTCGCGTGCGACCCGCTTCTGCTCGGCCTGTTTACGTTCGGCCTGTTCACGGGCAACGCGCTCTTGCTCGGCCTTGTCACGGTCAGCTTTCTCATGTTCAGCCTTCTCTCGTGATATACGCTCCTGCTCAGCTTTTTCTTGCTTAGCTCTCTCACGATCAGCCCTTTCGCGCTCAGCCTTTTCCTGTTCGGCCTTCTCAAGCTCAGCCTTTCTGCGTGAAATGCGTTCCTGCTCAGCCTTTTCTTCTTCCGCTTTTTTGCGCGCCTCCTCAAGAGCGACCTGCTCACGCTCAGCTTTCTCGAGATCGGCCTTTCGGCGC